CCATTCCAAGATCCCTTAGTGGCCAGTAACATGGCAAAGACAATTCCATCAGTGAAGGCCCCTATCATCCCTGAAGAGGACCATACAACATCATCAGCTGTCTATTCTAGTTCCCAAAACCACAAAAAAGTCAGAATTGAGTAATTGAAGCCACCACCAACCTGTGAACCTGAACACCAACCTGAAATCCGAAAGTTTCAGAGTGATCCACCTCCAATGGCTTGCAACACTACATTTTAAACAAATGTCAAATGATAAGTTATTTTACACAACAACTAGTAGAGTAGTTATTTAAAAATATAAGTTAGTAACCATACCTTCATGGTATTCCATTTCTTGTTCGGATTCGGGCACATCTTCTTCATCGTTTAAAACAATGCTATTGTTGCTTCTCAACCAATCACCACCACAAATCAAAGCCTCAACCATCTGGGGAGCCAAAGAAGTTCTAAACTCATTCAGAACTCTTCCTCCTGTGCTAAAAGCCGACTCGGAAGCAACCGTTGATATTGGGATAGCCAATACATCCCGAGCTATTTCAGCCAAAACAGGAAATCGTAAACCATGAGTTGACCACCACTTAAGAATATCAAAGGAGTCGACAACTGAAACATTATCTTGTTGTTGCTTCTCCTTAAATTGACTCTCAGTCAAATAGAGTGTCAACTCAGAAGCATCATTGTCGTCTCCTTCATCATCACTATCTTCTATGGCACTACACGAACCACGATTTGATAGCCTCCTAACATCAACATTAAGCAAAGCTTGCTTCCGAGATTGTGTAGAAGAGTCTTGAGATTTGGTGTTCGTCCTTGGACGAGGTGGAAGCAACAAATTTTTGTAAAACTCAAAGAGTTCAGAAAATAACTCTCTCAATTCAGCCACCATTGTAGTTGCCCTATCCAACCCGTATACCTTCTTCAAACATTTATGTACATGCTTCAACTTTTGCCGTGGATCCAAAGCCGCAGCTATGTATAGGATCTTGTTCATCCTGAAGTTGCCCGCTACTTCTTCCTCCCAATACTTAGCAACCTTGGACCTCATTCTTTGTGCCATTGTTCTAATCTTAGGATCCGTATGCTTTTCCACATTGGCTATGTGATCAAATATATCACACATCTCTTTGAAGAAGAGATGAGATGTCACATATGAGGTGCCAGAGACGAGACAAGTCAAGTCAAGTCATAGAACTTCTTCAAGTATTCCATCATCCAACGAACATTTACCCAATCCTCCGGCCCAGGTGGACCAACAACGGCATCACGGTGCATGATTTTGTTTAACTCAGTTTCAAATGCAGGCAACATTCCTGCATACACTGGAAAAACAGCCTCGAATGGTTCAGCGGACTCTAACATCAGATATGCTGAGTTCCACCTTGTTTGCACATCAAGCGTTAGTGATCTCTTGCATTCGAGGTTCATGCTATTGATTGCCCTCCTCCATATCTCCACCCTAGATGGCAAAGCAGTAATCCACTTCACGGCTTCTCTAACCCTTCTCACTGACAACCCAATCTCATCCAAGCCATCAGAAACAACCAAATTAGTGATATGCGCTACACAACGCATATGTAGGTATCTTCCCCCTGATATGTTAGTCCCCCATTCTTCAAATTTCTCCCTCATATGACGAACTGCTACATCATTAGCCGATGCATTATCAACTGTGCAACATAGTACATTCTTCAAATCCCACTCATTCAAACATGTCATCACCTCGTGAGCAATGTCCTCCCCTTTATGACTAGTTATCTTCTTGAAGCATATGATCCTCTTATGGAGATTCCAACTTCTAGAGATGAAATGTGCCGTGACAGTTATGTAATTATCGTTCTTCAACGATGTCCAACAATCCGTTGTGATTGAAATTCGCCCCGTGCCTCTATCTTTGAAGAAGGACTTCAAGCTATCTTTTCGCTGAAGAAACAACTTTGCACAATCTGTCCTCACTGTTTTCCTACTTGGAATTTTGAACATAGGGCAAACACGAGCCATGAAATGACGAAAGCCCTCCCTTTCACAAAATTTGAAAGGTTGTTCGTCAAGCATGATCATTTCTGCAAAAGCTAACCGTGAGTCTTCTTGATTGAATCGCCAAGCTGATATCTCGCCTTGTCCGTCCGTGGAGGAACCAGCTTGGAAACTCAGATTTGTTTGTTGTAGCAGCTCCAAATGTTTCTTCTCACAAGAGGCCTTATGGTTCTTCAAGCCATTTGTGCCATGGGTGCTTCCGACAGCAATGATAGTTCCACAACGATTACATTTTCCTTGCCGAATCTCAACTGGTGGATTTCCTTTTACAGTAAATAACACTGTGAATCCAACCCAATGTGGTGATAGGAGGCTACATGCTTTCCTCTTTCTAGAATCCGACCCAATCGATGGTTCCTCATTAACCACAACATTACTTGCTGTTTGAGTTTGAGGTACTTCGGAGACGGGTACATGTTCTTGACTAGCCATCGAATATCACATAACCTGGGAATAAACACCACAACGAAATAAGCAAGAAGATTAACCTGGAAATAACCTGCTAACAATCAGCCAAACCCCCAAATAATTCATCTGTCTTTCTTAACTTCTCAAACATAAAACAAATTAAGGAAAGTCTCATCCTAACGCCTGATCAACATTTGGCGCTTCCTTCCCCTTTGGTACCTTTCCCAAATTTCTACAGAATACAAACAAACACTCTTTTTCTAACATCACTGTGACTGACGTACATTTATCATTTCTCCCTGTCTCCCCTCGTCCTCAACTATAACTATAACTATACATATAGGGTATCCATTCAATGATCCATGCCAGGGAGGGAGGACAGAATTATTCATACACTCTGGTCAATTACACTATGATCTAACATGTGTATTAGCTCGAAAATGAATTGAACAATTCAACTTACCCAAAAACCAATTGAACAATTAAGAAGCTATGCTATGGCTGTCAGCGTCGGGGGCGACAGAGAAGGAGCTCCAAAGTCGTTGTCGGCGTCGCCAGAGGAGAGGATTCGATGATTTGTTGGTCTCGTCTGCTTCCGAGGGAGATCCCGAGGAGAAGAGCAGCCAACGGGCGATGACGTTGGGTGTCAGGCTGAGATATAGAGGAGAGGAGCGGATGGCAGCGTCACTTTCGTCTTGCTCGTCTAGGTCTGCTGGGCGGCCGCGAGGGAGAGTTTTTTCATTTTTGGCATTTGCTCAATTGCTCTAGGTCTGCTGGTGCTGGGCATCGCCGCCGTCGCCGAGTGAGGGAAAGAAAGGAGGCGAACTGGCAAAGAGAGGAAATGGGCCAGTCCAGTCCAGTCTGAGAGCGAAGAGAGGAAATGGGCCAGGCCCTGGACGGACGCCTCCTCACGCCTGGGGTCGGGCTGCTGGGCTGGGCTCGGGTTCATTTATGAATTTTGGGCAGGCAGCTAAGTGTATTGGGTATAACGGGTACCCGTTATACCCAAACGGGTATAAACGGGTAACCCGCGGGTACCCGCTTTTGAAATTACCAATCCCAAATCCCATCCCGCAATTATAAAACGGGTATTTGGGTACCCGTTATCCTCAAAAAATGGGACGGGTATGGGTATACCCAAATACCCGTTTCCCGTTGCCCACCCCTATTGGCAGCGTGATTGTCAACTTCGCCCTCCAAAAAGACATAAGATTGATGGTTGTGATAGAGCTGTTAATGAGTCGAGTCGAGTCGAGGTTTGCCATAGTTCGGGTTTGGCTCGTTAATATATTTCCAGACTCGATCTCGGCTCGTGTTCGTCACGAGCTTTAATATGCAAGCTCGAGCTCGGCTCGTCAAATAAGTTTAACGAGCCCAAAATCAAGTTCAGCTCATAAAATATTCATGATAGCTCAAAATTGATCGACCTAGAACTGCGCACAAACTTACATTCAAACCTATAGCAAAGTCTAGCAAAGTAAAATACACTATTTATCATAATTTCAATGCATAAAATCCATGAATTCTAATCCTTTTTTTATGCCAACCATTAAATGAGCTTGTTCGCGAGTTTTCGAGTTGAACATGATATGGCTCGAATTCGGCTCGTTTAGTTAACGAGCTTGTTCACGAGCCTGCTCGATTAAAACGAATCGAGTGTCGAACGAGTTTTTCTCGATTCGCACACCAAGCCGAGTGTCTTGGTTCATTAACCCCCTAGTTGCTTGTGGATATGAATTGATGAGATTGAAAGGGATTGGTTACAGGGTGAGGGGTCCCAAAAACTTGGGCAACCTAACAACCATGCCAATTGGATGAGAATGAGATAAGATGTGGGCATCATTGCTCACTACCTAGTTTTGATAGCAAAATTAATTAATGTCATACATAAAACATACATACATTTATAGGAGTCGTTTGGATGTTAAATTGGGAGCCCGTTTGGTTGTTGGATATGAAAATGAAGGTTTTGGGTTTTAAAAATCGTTGGATTTATGATTGATTTGTTGCATTATGGATTTGGAAGAGTACATTGTTTGCTTAGTTAATTTTATATCATGTATTTATGGTGGATTTGTCTCACAACTTTGCCGGCTTCCATTACCAAATCCCAAATGAAAAAAAATTAGAGAGAGAATTAAGGGGATACTGATGCAGGAGCAGCAAGCTAGTTTGATTTTTGAGGTGACAGTAGCTGATGTTAGGGAAGCCATATTTGGTATGTATTCTTTCAAAGAGTACATTGTTTGCTTAGTAATTGACAATCCCAGCTCATTCCATACATGGAATTTTAGACAATTTTTACAAGATAATTCCCAGATTTTGTTTAACGTGAAGATTAAGACTAATTCCCACGTTCTCAAATTTTCAAAGCCCCGGTGCTTTTTTACTGCTGCACAAACTGCGACTTCACCATCACCCCTGAGCTAAAGACTAAACGTTAGTTCCCCTTCTGCCCTTCTTTTCCCATGAAAAAAATAGTTGTGTGGAAGTCATTAGCGGGGCAGAAAATTTGCTTTGCCAGTAACCTTTCTAGCTCAGATAATTATGGATTGAAAAAAAGATTACAAGTTTTGCATCAGTATACTTATGTTCACAAGTATAAGCCCAAATGTATACAAAGATAGAGGATTTGCATGCAAGAGTCTTGAACAATTTTGCGAACCAGAGAATCATGATGACTGTTGCGACCATCCATCAAGCACTTTCAGCGATCATGAAACCGTACCGAGATCAATAAACGATAATGGTGATACAATCGTCATGAAACTCTATTATAATTGTATCAACTTTAAGTTCTTATATTTAATTCAATCAACATAATCCATCAATATTATGCAGTTTCATAAAAATCGGTGATTCCATATGCTCCTTTTCACGAACAACAAAACATTATCAGCCGCCTCCAACACGAGCATCCCTGTAAGTTCAAACAAAGATATCAGAAAAACAAATTATTATCAAATGCCTCCAACTCTCGGCCAGCTGTTGCCGATTAGGAAAAAATAATGAAGGATTAATTAAGTTTAATTGCCTGCAGTTTTGTTATTTTTTTAATTAAAAAGAGAACAAAAAAGAAGACGGTGATCGGAACAATTGCAAAACACTTACCGTGTCCTCGTCGGACTCGCTGATGCAGCTCGGTTTCTTTCCGCTGCCGTGGATCCCATAAGCATTCGCTATCTTCTTCTCATCCTTCCTCGCCGGCTTCCCATTTGCGTTGTTGTGGAGGAGCTTATACGAATCGCCCCAATTCTTACTCCCCGCTTCGCCGCGGCCCCCGCCGGCGAAGGCCGGTGGAGCCGGCGCCTCGGGAATCACTTTCCTCTCCCTGCCGTTATTGCTCCCCAGATGGCTGCCGTCGGAGTAAGACTTGTGAAGGTCGATCGAGAAGCACATGTCGCTGAATTGGTAGCTAGGAACCTCCGACACGGACGAAACCCTAGATCCAGACACCGGCGATTTCCCCGGCGGAGTGGCGGGATTCCCCTGCTGCTGCTGCTGCTGCGTCGTGGAATTCATCAAGGGCTCTGTTTGCGCCGACACCTTCTCCTCCTGATCGGCCGACGTCCGCCGCCTGGGGCTGTTCTTCTCCCCCGATTTCTCATCCCCGGCGGCGGCGGCGGCAGCGGTGCGAATCCCTAGCCTCAACGGGAGCAGCTGCATAATCTCTTGACCGCTCTGCGAGCAATTCGATATCTGGCGAACAAGACTCTCCGGCAAAGTGGCCGGCTCGGAGTTCTTGTGCGAAATCGCGCAGGCGATGTGGGCGTCGAACTCGCAGAATCGGCAGCGGTAGAGCCATCCTTTGTAGCTGGGCTTGAGGCAGAGATCGCAGCTGAAATCGTACGGCGGGCAGAAGTGGATCTTGAGCGGGTGGGGATGGCCGGAGATCATGACGGAGAGCGGCAGAGCTAGGCAGAGGTTGTGGTAGAACGTCCCGCCGCAGCTGTAGTAAAACCCACTGATGCTCTTCGTGCAGGCCTTGCATCTCACTTGGGCGGCGGCCGAGGACTCCGGCGGAGACACGGCGAGGGTCAATTTGGAGTCGGGATGAGCAGGGTGGGTGGTGGTTCTGGGCAAGTGGAAGCATACTTTGTGGAGGGAGAATGAATTGCAGGTTCTGCAGGCGTAGTAGTCTTTCCCTGATGCAATCCCCAAGTTGCAGCCATTGCAGGCGATGTTCCCCGGCGAGACGGATCGGGTGAAAGGATGTTGGTGGCTGAAATGTTGGAGCTTGGGCTCTTCTTTGGCATCCATTTTTTTTTTTTTTTGTTGCTCCACACTACAATCCAGGTGGTGGTTTTTGTTGCTGATGCAGCTTCCCTGTTGGGTTTTACCTTGAGATTGCAGGTCTTTTGGAGGGTGACAAATGGAGGAAATTTTGAGGCGATTATAAAATGGGCCGTCTTGGGATCTCCGTTGAACAGTAAGTCTGTGGGGAGTGAAAATCCAACTAGAATAAGGCCAAAAAATGGTGTCTTTGAGGGATTGAAATCCACGATCATGCCGTCGTTCCATTGCTTGACAAAAGCCTTTCTGCCATGGATGCTAGTGACTAGTAAGAGACTGTGGAGAGTGTCGTTCTGTAACCCAGATAGCTGTTTTGACCCAAGGACTGTTTTGAATTGATGCCTGTAGAAATTCAGTGTTTTCTCTTTGATGTCGAAAATGCCTGTTTTTGTCTCTGCCCATCACTTATTAACACATTCCTCACCTTATTTTGGTTTCTTGTCTGAAGCCAAAATGGGCTTCAATCTTCCAACTGTCTGTTTGTTCACTATTTCATTTCGTGGGAAGTAATGCTCCCAGCAGGAACTAAAGCTCGTTGATTCCCGCCAGTTATGGAATTAGATGCTCCGTGCATGACATAAGTACTTCATCGGCAGAATATTACGTCTTCTGGAAACCAGAATCAAGGGTTTAGGCAAGAATATGTATTACCAGTATCATTTCGTACTGCAATTGTGTGTACAGTTACTTGTCCTTTCTTCTTTCTGCAATTCCTTATTAAGAACTCCTGAGTCCTGGCTGGTTCAGAGCAATTCAGCTAACCATAGTTGAAAGTGGGTGTAGGTAGGAAGCATGCATTGATGCCTTTCATTTTACGCAGGACGCGGGTTTCTTCAATCCAGTCTGTTACAGTAATGATGTGTAACAGAGTTGGAGTTCCTGGCATATTATTCAATCTTTCCCAGCTTGGCTTTGGCTAGGCTCGAGGCCTGCTACAGGAATGTGTAACAGAGTTGGGAGTTTCATCAAATTCATCCTGCTAGCAACCCTTTTCATCACAGCAGCAGAACCTCTTCAACTCAGCTTCTCGACTTTCAAATCCAGCGGACAAGGCGGCAATCTAGTCCTCCATATTCCTGGAGACTCTCCAAGTCACGCCAGCTCTGAGCGGATCTTCCTTGAAGGCTTGAACTACCTGACTGGAGAGCTGTGTACGAACACCCTCTCAAGCTGTGGGGGAAGAGATTCGGGCGCTGGGGTCGCATCAGAGCAAGCTTTAACTCCACATTCATCATCAACATCGCCGGGCAAACAAAGTAAGCAGGGGAAGCACGAATTTGCGACAGAGTCACCACAATTGGGAATCTTCACCACAAGAATCTGGTGAAGCTAAGTGGGAGCCTCTGTTCTCCTCCAAAAGGAGTCACTAAAATGTATGAGTTGGGGAAATGGAAAAAAGTCAATCCATAATTGGTTACAGTTACAGACTCCATTACATAATTGACCACTTACCAGCTTACATATACAACAATTCACAAACGTCACTTGAGATTGCTTGTCAACTTGTAACTAAGAAGATATCATTATACTTCTAATCAAAGATCAAAACGTGTTGTGGTAGATTAACCTTTGAACAGTTGACCATTTACACCATCAAGAACAGAACAGAGAGTGAAACCCTCTATAAACAGAGCTTCAATGGAGAGCGTCTCCCCGCATATACCATACTTATTTACTCAATCAAATGATGCTAGAAACCAAGTCCCCATTAACGCTCGCAGCGACTGCCTTCATCCTTCTCCTCACCATACCCATTTCCCCATCTACTCCCCTTCATTTCAACTACACCTCCTTTCCCGACAACTCCACCAGCGACTTCACTCGCGCCAACGCTTACATAACCGCCGGCACAATTCAGATCACTCCCGATTTCATCCCCAACATGTCGGGCAGAATCTGCTACAGCAAACCCTTTCGGCTTCACAGAAACCGCGGCCACGTCAAGGCAACTTTCACCACCACCTTCGTCCTCCAAATCAACCCCAAGACTCAACCTCCAGGGGAAGGCATGGCCTTCATCCTCACAGAATCCCCGGTCCTGCCCGGAAACAGCTCCGGGCAGTGGCTCGGGGTCGTCAACTCGATCACCAACGGGTCGTCGTCTCGCGGCGTCGTGGCGGTCGAATTCGACTCTAGGAAGAGTTACCCTGAAGATTTGGATGATAACCATGTTGGGCTGGACATTAACAGTGTTTACTCTGTTCGTCAGGAACCCTTGTCCGAATTCGGCGTCAATTTGTCCGCTTCCGATATCGTCACGGCTCGTGTTCACTACGACGGCAGTAACTTGACGGTGTTAGTCTCGGGAAGAGTTGTGATTTGGGAGTCGATTGATCTCTCTGTTCATCTTCCTGAAGTTGTTCATGTGGGATTCTCAGGTTCGACAGGCCGGCTGAATGCTCAACAGAATTGTATTCTGTCGTGGGATTTTGCTGGTTTAGATATTGGGGATGGACGATTTCGGTCAATTTGGGTTTGGGTTCTTCTTTCGATTGGAATCTTGGGTTTGATTTTCGGGATTGTTGGGTTCATCTACTATCAGAAGAGAAGGAAATTGGGCAGAGAGAAAACAGAGAATGAAGGTCACCCAAGTATTGAAGAGGCAATTCAAGGATCTTCCATGGCTCCCCTGAAGTTCAAAGTGAAGGAGCTCATCGACGCGACCAAGAATTTCAATCACGAGAACAAGCTTGGCAAAGGTGGCTTTGGAACTGTCTACAAAGGGATCCTGAGAAACAGAGAGATCGCTGTGAAGAGAGTTTCCAAAAAAGTAACGAGTCAAGTGAAGCAAGAGTTCATATCAGAAGTAACAACAATCGGAAATCTCCACCACAAGAATTTGGTGAAACTAATTGGATGGGCGCACGAAGGGCAAGAATACCTCCTCGTCTACGAGTACATGCCCAACGGAAGCCTCGACAAACTCATCTTCGACGACGACGAATCGTCGTCGTCGTCCATCAGATGGGAAACGAGGTTGAACATAGTATCAGGAGTGGCACGGGCATTGGAGTATCTACACACCGGCTGCGAGAAGAGGGTTCTCCACAGAGACATTAAAGCGAGCAACATAATGTTGGATTCCGAGTTCAACGCCAAGCTGGGCGATTTCGGCCTGGCTCGAACCATCAAACAGGCGGATCAAACCCACCATTCCACCAAGAACTTGGCGGGGACACTAGGGTACATGGCTCCAGAGATTTTTCTAACTGGGAGAGCAACTTTGGAGAGTGATGTCTATGCATTTGGGATTTTGGTGCTGGAAGTTTGTTGTGGGAGGAGACCAGGAGGCCAATTGGACCAAGATGGTGGTTATGCTAGCAGCATCTTGAACTGGGTTTGGGAGCTTCGTGGGATTGGGAGGCTGATTGATGCGGCTGATTGCAGGCTGAAGGGGGATTTTGTGGAGGAAGAAATGGGTTGTGTTCTTATTTTGGGTCTTGCTTGTTGCCATCCTGATCCGTTTAAGAGGCCAACTATGAAGAATGTTATTCAAGTTCTGGGAAGGGAAGTTGCAGCACCTGAGCTTCCACTGGAAAGGCCTGGTTTTATGTGGCCTCCTGTAGGGTTAAGTTCTGAAGGTGCAGGGTTTTCGTTGGTGGGAAGCCAAGTGAACTCGTTTACAGAAATCACAGGAAGATAGAAATGTTTGTAAGACTAAAATATCCAGTTATCCACAGCTGGATTTCCTTCTCCCAATGAAGGATTTGTGATGGGGAAGAATTTAGGTGTCGTTTAGCTTCATGGATTTTAATACGAGAGTTTTGTCTTTTGGTGTTGGATTTCCAGCATAACTTGATTGAGCTTGTTACTAGTTGTAAGATTTCATCCATAAAGTTAAACCATTTTACGCATTGTGTGGGAAGTTAATTATCTTAATAAGAAAGATATAAGTTAGAAACAGGGTTGTCAACGGGCTGTAAGCACCCGCCGGGTTGATCGCTACAAGGTATCGGGTTGGAGGTCAAATAATATCTTTTTTTTTTTGGTTTGTGAAATGTGCCTATTTTCCGAGTTTTCTTTGCGCCTAACTTAATCTTTGGAATCCTAAGTTAAACATTTGAATATTGATGTTATACAAGTGTGTATGAATTTTCACTATATGTTGGATATGAGCGAATTGTGTATAGTATTATGCTTGTGAATGTATGTATATATACACGAGTGTAGCATGAAGCACAACTAGCTAGAACTACAATAAATACAAGATATTGGGAAGATATGGAGAATCACATAATAATGAAATAAAGATATGATGGAGATTATATTAATGATATAGATACGGAATATCATAGTTGAAAGGGACAATTTTCCCCATTACGCCCCCGCAAGATGAAGTCGGGTTCAACGACGCCAATCTTGGATCGTAGCAGAAGAAAACGGGCAGGAGCAAGCGGCTTAGTGAGCGCATCGGCTAACTGAATGGAGGTCGGAATGTAGCGTACAATGAGCTGCTTGTCCTGAACCAGTTGGCGAACAAAATGGTAATCAAGGGCCAGATGCTTCATACGAGAATGAAAGACTGGATTAGCACTGAAAGAGGTGGCTCCCATATTGTCACAAAACAAAACAGGTGGTGATGGAGGAGAGTGATGAAGTTCTTGGAGTAAGTGACGAATCCACTGCAACTCAGCAGTAGCATGAGCCACGCCACGAAACTCAGCTTCAGTACTGGAGCGAGCCACAGTTCGTTGCTTCTTGGAGGACCATGAAATTAGAGTGTCACCAAGGTACACAAGATAGCCCATGGTAGAGGTACGGTCAATAGGATCTCCAGCCCAGTCAGAATCAGAAAAGGCACGGAGATTCATAGGGGATGCTGAACGAGAGATGGAAAGCCCATATTGGAAAGTGCCTTGCAGATACCGCAGTAGACGCTTCACAGATAACCAATGAGTAGTTGTAGGAGCATGCATAAACTGCGACAATTTATTAATAGAGAAGGCAACATCAGGTCGAGTGTAGGTGAGGTACTGAAGAGAGCCGAGGACCTGGCGATAAAGAGTAGCATCTGTGGGAGTAGATCCATCATCCAGATGAAGCTTAGCTGAAGCGGCCATAGGAGTGGAACATGGATTACTATCCAGCATGTGGAAACGTTGGAGAAGATCTCGAATATATTTACGTTGAGAGAGTATATAGCCAGCCGGTGTGGAAAGCACCTCAATACCAAGAAAGAAGTTAACATGGCCTAACTCCTTCAAAGAGAAACGTGTCGCCAATGCTTGTTGAAAAGAACGAATGAAGCTAGAATCATTGCCTGTTAAAAGCAGGTCATCAACATATACCAAAAAGTAGCACAGTACTTTCCCACGAGAATAAACAAATAATGAAGCATCCGATACAGTTTTGTGAAACCCATGAGATTCTAAGAAACCAGATAGAGCGGAATACCAAGACCGGGGCGCTTGACGTAAGCCATAAATAGCCTGTTTAAGGCGGCACACATGAGAGGGAAAATGAGTACTTGTAAAACCCGGTGGTTGAACCATAAACACCTCCTCCTGTAAGGGACCCTGCAAGAATGCATTATTCACATCGAATTGAAGAATCGGCCAAGAATGGGACAGAGCAATGGTAAACACAGTTCGAACTGTGACAGGCTTGAGAACTGGACTATAAGTGTCATGATAATCGACGCCAGGGCGCTGATGGAAGCCCTTGGCCACTAAACGAGCCTTGTACCGGTCAATTGAGCCATCAGGATGACGTTTGATCCGAAATACCCAACGACAACCAACTAAATTTGAGCCGGGGGGAAGAGGAACGAGCTCCCATGTGCCATTGCCAATAAGAGCCTCATATTCCTTTTCCATTGTTGTTTTCCATGCTGGATCAATAAGAGCCTCCTTAACTGAACAAGGTTCCTGAGGCTGGGACAAAGTAGTAGATGTCATAAAAAGCTTCTTAGGTTTGAAGATACCATGCTGTGAGCGGGTAGCCATTTGATGACTACGTTGAGGAGGCTTCTTTGTTGGAGCTTTGGAAGGTGATAAAGGGGCATTCTCGCTATTGTCCACAGGAGAGGATGACGCAACAGGAGCAGCCGAGGAGGGGGAGGAAGGAGAGTCATGGGCTGCATGGGTAGGGACCTGCATAGAAAAAGTAGGAGAGGACGAAATAATAGAAAATGAAGGGACAGTGGAGGCGAGCCAGCCATGTGGATTTGTAGAAGGAGTGGGAGAGGTGGGGAAGCCGAGAAAGCTATTTTCTACAAAGGATACATGGCGAGAAATATATAGGCGATTGGTGGAGGGATCAAAACAACGATAGCCACTTTGTTGAGTAGAGTAACCTACGAAAATACATGGACGGGAGCGAGGTTGAAGTTTATGATCATTATAAGGACGTAGGAGAGGATAGCAACGACAACCAAAGACACGCAATTTATTATAATTAGGATGTTCATTAAATAAAGAAAAGAACGGAGTTTGGCCTTTAAGAGATGAGGAAGGTAACCGGTTGATAAGGTAAACGGCAGTTTGGAAGGTATCTGTCCAAAATGTGAGAGGAAGAGAAGCTTGGGAAAGCAAAGCAAGACCGGTTTCGACGATATGGCGATGTTTGCGCTCGGCTATTCCATTGTGTTGGGGGGTATGAGGAGGAGTAAGGAGATGGGAGATACCTGCACTAAGAAGTTCAGGTTTGAGTTTAGAAAACTCGCCACCACCGTCAGTGTAAAGACGTTTAATCGATGTGGAGAAATAATTTTCAACCATATTCTTGAATTGAAGAAATATAGAAAGAACATCAGATTTTCGACGAAGAGGAAACAACCATGAATAACGAGTAAAATGATCAACAATAACGAGATAATAAAGAAAGTTATCACGAGAAACAACTGGGGAAGGTCCCCAAACATCTGAATACAACAAATCAAAAGGCCGACAACTAGAGAGACTAGAAACGGAAAATGGCAGTTTATGAGCCTTATTAGACAGACAAGCATCACAGAAGTCAAAGGAAGACTGGGACGAAACAGGAAGATGACGAACAAGTTGATTGAGAACTTTCGAGGATGGATGACCGAGGCGGGAGTGCCAGGAAGATAGGGAAGGATGGGTGGAAACAAGAGCAAGTTTAAGTTTGTGGTTGGCCCGCGGCAGCTCGTAGACATCTCCTTTATTCCGGCCTCGAAGAAGGCGTGCTCCGGTGCGTAGATCCTTCACATAGAAACAATCAGCAAAGAATTCAATTGAGATCGGATTAGTTTTGCATAGTTTAGCAACGGATAATAAGCGATTCCGAAAAGCCGGAACACAGAGAACATCCTGTAGAGAGAGGCTAAGAGCACTCGTAGGGATAGTAGTAGAGCCCATATGAGTTATTTTCAAACCTGTTCCGTCGCCAACCAAAACCTCGTCAGGCCCAGTATAGTCGGAGTAAAGAGATAGGGTGCCAAGATCCGGAGTCACGTGATGAGTGGCAGCTGAGTCAACAAGCCATGGAACTTCAGAAGAGGACGAGGGACGAGGAGGTCCCGTAGCAGTAGTAAAGTTGACTTGAGATGAACGAGGATTGAGCTTGAAGCAGGTTTTTGCCGAATGCCCGGTCTTGTCACAGTATTGGCAGACAACTGTGAATCGGGGACGACGAGCAACAGGAAAAGAAGGCCCAGCAGGTGGTGAAGGAAGAAGACCACGACCTGTACTAGGAGGGCGCTGCGGACGAGAGAAATGACTCGGACGGAAGCTTGGAGAACGTGAGCTGCCACGATGAGAGAGATAAGCCGTAGCCACGGGAGAATCCATAGAGGGCATGGGCTGATAGGTGCGGAGGTCAGCTTCGAGTTCAATAAGACGATCATGAAGATCAGCGAACGTGATAGGGGATTCTTGAGCACGAACTGCAGCTGCAAACTCACGATATTCTGGACCCAAGCCCCGCAAGGCATGGATAATCATATCCTCTTCAGAAACCGGTGATTGAATGAGGGCCAATTCAGCGGCAATAGATTTTATAGACTGCAAGAAAGTAGTAACAGATCTATCCCCTTTTTGGGCACGAGACAGCCGATCTTTTAAGGACATAACACGTGATCGAGATGCGTTAGCAAACATTTTTTGAAGAACTTCCCAGGCATCTTTCGAGGTAGAAGCAGCCGCAATATAGGGAAATATTGACTCGTGAACTGAGGCAAGGAGAGCATGCAGCAGGAGTTTATCTTGCCGAAACCAGTGGATAAATGAAGGATTGGGAGAGGTGGTACCATTAGCCGTGACTGTGTTGGCTGGAGCTGGAGTGGTACCATCAAGAAATCCCAGCAAGTCCAGCCCCATTAGAAGTGTAAAAAGTTGGGCTCTCCATGATGGGAAATTTTCGGACGTGAGTTTCAGGGGAAGTTGAGATGCTGGGTTAATGGTGATGAGATGACCATCACCGTTGGCAGAAGGCAGCAGCTGGGATGTGGCATCAGAAGCAGAATTCATGATGATTTTGAGATGTTTGGAAAAAAAAAAGAAGGGCCCTTACAAGTGGTGATCAATGCAATAATGGTAGAGTTTAATAATGGAGAGGGAAAGGGGAAACGTGTTGGGTGTGGATTGATGAGTGATTGGGAGGGTAGATGGAATAGGAGATGGAGTAAAGAGTAGGTATATAGCGCCTGCAAGAGCTCCGAGATGCAGGCTGTGAGCTGTCTAAGAGTAATTAAGTAGTTGTAGTGGGAAAGGAGAGTAGTGGGATCGTATGAGGCTGTTAAGCAGTTTGCTCTGATACCATGAGCGAATTGTGTATAGTATTATGCTTGTGAATGTATGTATATATACACGAGTGTAGCATGAAGCACAACTAGCTAGAACTACAATAAATACAAGATATTGGGAAGATATGGAGAATCACATAATAATGAAATAAAGATATGATGGAGATTATATTAATGATATAGATACGGAATATCATATTTGAAAGGGACAATTTTCCCTATTAGGATATAAGTAAGACATGTTATTTCAGTGGAATATTATATGTTATAACTCATATGTTAGATGATAATTGATATAATTTATCAGGATAAGTATAATATAATGACTCTTTCCATATTTTCGGGTTAAACCGGGCTAAAACGGGTGCCTTGACCCACTACCTCGATCGGGTTCGGGTCAGCCCGCGGGTTGACAACCTTAGTTAGAAAGCATAATCAAAAATTTTCATGAAAAATTTATAAAATTTAAGTGAGTCTCATAATTATAAGGTTGACTAGGCCAGCCATTTTTTACCAACTTTGGTTCGATCTAATTTAAAACTAAAAGGGTGTGTAAAATCAAGTAAGTTACTGGAATTGTTGAATTCCAATAAGCTATGATATGCTTACATCGCATCTGTGAGAACGTTTCGTAGGGTTGTTCGTAATTTGATGGAGTGCTAAGTCATTCACGACCGTTGAATAAAATTATCGTCGTATCCCTGCAACAACGGCGAAGATCCAACAACGTCCAGCACCTGACCACATCCTCACAATTTGGGTGCGAAGAGGATAGAAAAATATAGGTTGAATCCACTTCTAATTCCTCTCGGCTAGTAACAACCACTATCCAGATATTAAAATGTTTGAGAAATTCTACCATATCGTTCGGTCGGACCAAAAATACCAGATAACGGCTCCAAACCGTTAGGCGGTTAGAATGGTAGGAAATGGTTGAATCGTGATTTTATTACAAAATACGCTACCACTGAATTTTCCTGCATAACTCCTCGTATGTTTTCCCCAAATGAAAAAATTACAGTTATCAACAGTATAACTGTAATTTTTCCGGATAGAAAATCTAGGTTAGCTATTCTCTTATGCTACAGTATCAACCGTATAACTTTAATAATAACCCAAATAAAAAAATTACAGTTTAGCCATGTGTCAATGATGAAGTGGGTGTTAGCAAAAATAAAATAATCTACAGTTATACAATTAGCAAAATAAAATAATCTTTTTTCCAGTGACCATGACAAAGATAAAGCCCCATTATTTTATCATTATTACTTCATACAACATCTTCTTCCAATATTCAAACAAAAAGCACATCTGGCAGTTATCTGAATTGACCATATGATAAGTGAATATTTGAGGTAAATATGGAAGAGAAATCGATCACGAAAATTACATATTTGAATTAAAAGAATAAATTTTTCAAGGACATTTAGGCGTGCCTTCTTTGGTCTTCCAATTGTTGTAGCAGGGACACTCTTCTTTGTTCCCATATGTTCCAGACGGAACACACAAACATTTCTGACAACACATGTTGCAGAAGAACAAACATGGTTTCTTATGCGACGTCGCCGAACACCTAAATTCGCACGCTCCCGAACATTCTGCATAAAAATATATAAATAATTAACATTATAGATAATCAATCATCATAATAATATCACTATATATAATGGGTACCTGTTAATTTTATGATATTGGAAAAGCTAGTAGAAATATATATATAAGAGATAGTTTCAAAAATCAAATAGAGACATCCCGACATCTGACACAACGAGTCAATGGACTAATATAATAAAAAAAAATTATATTCAAATAATTATACTTACGATCTGCTGTAAGTGATCCTTCTCCACCAGCCTGCATTAGGTTTATGAAAAAAGAATTAAATTCTGTTGAAAGACTACTAATCTTTTTATTAAGAGAGATATAAAAAGAGAGGCTAAATTACATAGTATTACATAAATTGTAAATATGACAGGCAACACAGACTACTTTGTCTCCATAATTATGTACAACATAAAAATAATATAAAAGAACATCTACGAACATGTGAGAGTTGGATTGCGAACGCCATTGTTATGGCAAGAAAAAGAGCAAAGGAAATTGCTTTTGCTGCCATTTTGTATGAAATCTCTCTTTGATGAAGAATCCTTGTGAAGGAGAATAAATGTGAATTTTTTAATAATTTATTTTGAGTAGTTTGTGGTCATACAACTAATGAGTAGATATATTTATAATAGAAGGGATAGAGGAACTCCCATGAAGAAAAAAAATATGGTAAACCTTTCTATTACCATTTTTTTTTTGTGATATAAAAGGAATTCAAATTAATTAATTTCTTAATACAATTTTCTAATTCTGTAAATTTAATAATATGCAATTAGTTTGTAAATACTAAAAAATTATGGAATTACTAAAACTCAAAACCTTACATTTACAGAAATAGTAAAAAAAAAAAATTGGTTTCCTTTTATCCAATTGCAAATAGAAGGAATGAAATGTGAAACGTTTATCTAATACCAAAAAGAAAAGGACATTAATGAAATAAATTATATGATATCTTTCCATACATATAATTGCATTGCATGCAATATAAACTTTTCCTTCCAATACTTTCTTTCAAGAAGGGCAAAATATTGAATGTCTTTTCATTATATTTTCACTTATAATATATTGATTCTCAAATTTTCCACTTATAATTTTTATCATTTATGTTACACTCTTACTTTTTCTTTTTCAAACAATATTTTACCAACCAACTTCCACATCCTTCTGTTTATTTTCCTCTAAAAGTATGAAATCATCCAATTTTGTTAAAAACACACTCAAAATACTAGTTTGTGTCCAGCCCACTCGCCAGCTGAATTTCCTTATCATTATTCTTATATTAAGTAACTTAAAATTTTCATTAATTGCTACCAACTTCCTGATGTTCGACAAACATATACCTCTCGTCTTCGAAAGAGCTTAGCATGTAACCATTTGATAAACCCAGATGCAAGGGGGAAGAAGACTACTGTTCAATCAGATTTTCGAGTCGATAACAGTGATTAATCCGAGTCGTCCCAGTGCCAATAGCTGATTATCGGTATGTCTAAAGGAGTGAGATAACAGTAGTCTGGTTTTACGAGTGTAGGCTACAACCCATTTGCCATCAGTAGCTGTAAAACATAACACGTTCTATGTTGCCTAAAGTTTGGACCTACAGGAAGAGATATCCCAACATTCTGGAATTGAAGCATTTCCAGGGGGGAAAAAAAGGGGACGGAACACAAGGCCCTTACACAGAAACTGACCGGGTTAGAAACCAGGCCGAATATCAAAACCAATCAGAAAAACCTGTCTCGTTCTGTCGCCGAGCTCAGTCATCAACGTCCATACCCTCCTTCTCACTGCTCCTACTTGACCACAGCTTGATGGTCCGATCATGCGAGACGGTTGCAATACATTCTCCATCTGTAGATAAAAAGAAACAGAGGTTAACAAATGAAGAAAGATAGATTCACCACAACAGCAACAGATTATGACAATGTACCGAACTAACCTGGAGTTATATCCAAAGATGTTACTTTGGACTCATGCCCTGACAAAGTCTTGACAGGCTTGAAATCCTTTCCTGACCAGACCTGCCACAACCAAACGTGTGTATATGATATGAGTTACAACAACATTAACCAAAATCTTGCATGGTAATTAGACATTTTCCAACTAGGAGGGGAAACTTTACCTTGGCAGTCGTGTCATATGATGCAGTGACCAAGAAATACCCTTCTTGAGGCTCAAACTTCACATGAGATACGAGATTCGAGTGCGCTGGAATCACGTACAACGACCTTTTCTTCCTCAAATCCCAGATTCGACAAGTATTATCTTCACCTCCAGTAGCCAGATGATAGCCATTGGGAGAAAAACTCATACCAAGAACCTGAAGGATGGATGACATCAAGCACGGACATGTCAACACACAATAATCACTTCATTCAAGAAGTCACAACTCACAAGTGTCAATTTTAATGACAAGAAAATAGTAGGATGTTTAAATATCTTACCGGCTTAACGTGGCCTTCCAAGGCTAGAACACTTCTCCCTGTACGAAGATCCCACACACGAGCAAGGGAATCCAGTCCACAAGATCCTACCAATGATCCATCGTGATGGAAGGCGATCCCATAGACACTTCTGCTGTGGCCTTCTTGAAGAAGCAATTCCACCCCAGTATCAACGTCCCACAATCTCCACGTCTTGTCAAAGCTTGTGGTGCCAATGTATTTTCCAGATGGATGAAATCCGATGCGTGCGAGACGATCTAAGTGGCCCTCAAATGTTCTCAGAAGAGTTCCATCAGTATCCCACAATTTTGCAGTTCGATCAGCTGATGCTGTTGCCAAGCAGTTGTTCACAGGAGAGAATGTCACATCAGTCAGCCGTTCCTTGTGACCCTTCAAGGTAGAAACTCTACTTATTTGAGGTGCTTTCCACACTTTTGCAACTCCAGTTAATGAACTATGACAAGAAAAGGAAGGGGAAAAAACAAATATCAGTTGGCACCTCATGCTACACATGGTAACCCGCTGGTGAATAATTTGAGCTAGGCTCTAGAAATGAAGTCTGAAACTATGTGAGGTGTAGCATTACTCACTATTGACATTGTAGTTAAAAAATTGCCCAATGAGGTAAAATAATCACGACCAAAACATCACTGTAAATAGCTCTCGATTTTTTTATGGAAGTACTGTTAGTTTCTAGCAGCCATCATGACTTGTTATCTAGTTTTCAGTTCCATTCTCCAAGAGCAACAGTGAACACAAGAAGAAGCATGCAAGAAAACCAAAATAATAAAAGGAGTACTGCAGGAAAAAGTTACCAGGTGGCCAGAAATTCTCCATCCTTGGAAAAGGAGCAACCAGAGAGGGGTCGATCATCTCCAAACTCGCTGCAGTCAAGAGCCAAATTTCCAGCTTGCTTCAATGAAGAATTGATCTCACTATCTTCATCTTCCCCTGGGGTCTCACGTTTCCTTCTGGCACTCTGAAGCCGCCTTGCCGCCCTCACAATCGAATATTTAGCAATGCTGACTCTGGCCTCATGGAGTTCCCAGGATCCTTCTGTATAAAACGGGTATTCAAGCATTTCTTCCACAGCATCTTGACCTGTTGAGGTCGATGCAGCCTCCTCTTCTTCATGAGCTTTCATCAACCTCTCCAACTGCCCTTCAGAGTCCAACTTCGCCATAAGCATTCTCAAACGATCCCGTCTCTCCATCTCTCTCTCTCCAAAGAGTGTTATGGGTTCACCGAGCCTACGAAGCCGTGTCCTGACCGCCATGTCATTGGTCGGAACAGCGAGAGCATTAGCACGGCGCTTCATCATGAGCTCCTGAATTGCCTTTTGCTGCCTCTCTTGAATAATTAGGCTCTCTTCCGAAGCCTCATAGCCTACGGTTGACCCATTACCGGCTGGGCTCGAATCATCTTGGTCAGAATCCGAGTCACTTGTTCCCGGTTGATCATCCTGTGGTGCCTGAGGTTTAGGTAGAGCGGGGCGAGGAGGGAGAGGGGCTAACGGGCGAGGTATAGGAGGAGCAAGGGTAGGTAGTGGAGCCATGAGAGGCACAAATGGAGTAGTGGCAGGCGACACTAGTGGTGGTACAACGGGTTGAACAAGGATGGCATCAACCATGGTTTGATCTTCAGACACAGCAGCTGAAGATTCAGCTACTGGTAAAGTTGATGGTGGCAGAGGGTTCTCTTTTTCAGCTGTCATGATTACCAAACCTGCAAACATGACTAGTTAAACTAAATCCCAAAAAACGAAACTTCATGATTCAGGACACAATGCAGGAAAGTGGCTGCTTAAAAACGAAAAGAAGCTGGCATCAACAGTCCATTCATGGATAGCAAATGGTTGATTCTAGCTACAATGGAGCAATTCATTGATCTTAACGTTATTCTAGTTAACAAGGTTCAAGGGCCCTCAATACAACTCTCCCATCCCTACAAATTTTTTTTTTTGTCAAAGCTACTTATTATGTTGGAAGGAAGAAAGTTCCTCAATGCCCACAAGCATCAAATTGAGAGAACAAGAGAGCAATACCTAGCCGAAGTGCACGAGTTTCAAATCCGCCGCCTTTTTCAGCCGGGGAGAGAAGAAGAGTCGTCGAGATTCGGCGGTGCAAGCCCTTCAGGTGGAGGCGGCGAAACCCTAGAAGAAGAAAAAAAAATCTCTTTGTACAAATGCGGGTGTCGCTCAGCAAACCGAAAGCAGAATGGAGCTTTCTCGCCTTTGGATTCAGGCTCTCCACTCACAAGCCCTGCGTCTGTGGAAGGAGGAACAATGCCGCCTAATTCTAAGAGGGAGAGATGCTGAGAACGACGAAGATGAGTCGGGCAATTTTTTATCTAGCTCGGTTACCGATTGCTGTTCGAGTCGAGCAGTTTTGACTGGGCCCAGATACTTGTTGCTGTTCTACATTCTGGTCTGGGCTCGGCCCAATACATTTTTAAGCTTGGCCCAATAAACGAAAAAGAGGAACATCGGAAATTTTGTATCCCCAACAAGGCAACAAGTAATTGCCTACTTCCTGTTTCTGTAAAAAATTTAGCGACAATTCTCTCAGATATGCTTTTCTGCGAGGTTGCGTTTGAGCAAAAGGGGAAGAACATCAACTAGGGCGAAAGGGGAAAAGTAAGCGTGGTAAGTTCAACATCTTCCCTATATCGTTCCAATTTTAACGGATGTTTCCCCGAATGGACGTAGTAACTCCAACATCTGCATCACTCACTATAGATAACTCAAAATAGCTGTGTTTGTGTTTAACAATGAACATTACTGTCAGTGCTGATAAAATATCTCTATCTATCAAAAACAGTGAAATACTAGTCTCAAAAGATTGTCATATCCGCTGGATCTGTTGTAGACTATCCATCCTGCTAAATGAAAATGGAGTTGCAACTGAGACTGAAAACCCAAAACATACAGCTAAAGCTGAAAACTTGGTATTCATTCCTGATCAGTCTGGACAGTGAGATCCAGCACCCCCAAATCATGGTACAGCCCATGTACAAATTCTAGCACCTGCCGATCATCCGCTCCTCCCTTCACCTTGGGTAAGTGTCAGAAGTAACATACATTGACATGTCAGAGTTCTATTATTAGGGGGGAATGTAACAGATAGAACAGTAGTAAGCACTGCAAACAGCAACAACAACAAAAAAGAGATTGCAGATCAAACTTGACTGTCTTCAAGAATGTACCTGCAATGAGATGGAACCAACCGCGTGGCCTGGAACCAATTCCCAGAAACGGGCTTCAGAAACCTGAGACACATCTTCACAAGCAGAGATCTAACCAATAGAAGTAGAGACAAGGGGGGGAAAATGTCTATAAGCATCCTGATGAAGCCAACTAAATGGAACTCATTAATAGGGGCCAAGAAAAGTTTAGCTAGCTGGAAAGATCTCCCAGTTCTCACCTGTCTCGAGCACTTGCTCAATGCTGAAGGTGGAATGCTTGGTGGTGCCATTTGAAGCAACACTCCCCCGGTTGCCTTGAAAAGAGGCATGACAAGCATAAATACTGTAAAGGAAACTAGACCCAAGCACAGAACCTCCGCATTCTTAACCCTGAAACATACATAATAAGCACACAAAAAAAAAAGTTACTGAGGAGAGCAATCAAAGGTGTCAGGAAGAGTGAGGGCGGGGGAAATTCCACAACTGGCAATGGCGGTAACGAATGGAAGTCAAGAAACTTAATTACCCAAGCGACAACAACCACGATGCCAGTATCAACCCTGCACTGAGACACAACAAGAAGAAGACACTAGCTCAAAATGGCAACACTGGAATTCTAGCGACACGAAAAGCAATTGAGGATAAAGAGCAAACCTTCGAATGGAGTCAGCAAGGACATGCAAGCATACTGAATGGTAATTCATGTCTTCGGCATTTCTGTAGACTGAAAAAATTGAAGTGTTCAGAAGCAAGTTCAAACAGAGGAAGAGTAACATAAGCTGGTAATTGTCACTCTTAAGCTCACATAAGCGATGATAACCATAACCTCGTCAGTATTTACAGGAGTAAGCGATTTCTATTAGTACAAGTAGTGCAACATTGGGATCAAATTGCAATTCGGCTAGCAGATGACAATTACCAATATTTACGCGGGCATAGTTCCTGAAGAACCAGACACCAATAAGATTCACTGCCAAATTTGTCACTGCAGAGACAATCAAATAATGCCTGCAGTTTAAACAGGACAAGTTCCTCATTATTTCTCATTGTAGAACTGTATAGGCAAGCACAAAATAATAATTCCCTATCAAATAATCAGCAGTAATTTTAAAGCAACTATGCACCAACGAAATACTCCAAAAAGTTAGCACGAATTACTCACTTGTGCTCAGATTCATCTTGTACAAATGCATGAAGAGCTTCCACTGCCAAGGAGAATGACATGAACAGCAGAAACAGCTGTCTACACAAGCAGCAAAATCAATATTACTTATATGTTAGAGCAACAGATTGAAGCATGCTATGATTGAAGAAACTTTTCACAAGCAAAGTGAAAAGACTAATAGCAATGACACAATGCAAATGAAGCAGATAAATTCAGATGAATTTCCGCATCATGCTGTTGCAGAATTTTTTGTGCGATGAAAATTTGAGAAAGAAGGAAGCCTCCTCTCCCTTGAATTAGAAGTCAATAAAGGGCACAAGAGTGAAAAATCTCAGTCAATAGGATATTTAAGGAATATTGGATGATAGATATTCTATCGTTATGGCCGCTCCCAGACCTCAATCAATTGAAGTAGCCTTTCCTCTTAGGGGGTTTCCGATCTGTTCATTCCTTCGTCTATTTCAGGAAAGAGACTATAATATAAGTAGAAACACAACTAGCAGTAACATTAAAGTTAGGAACACACTCGATTCTTCTCAATTAAATCAGACCCTTGAGTCCTTGACAGGCCTAACAGTTACTATTTTGACAGTATGAACATACAATACTAGCAAATGAAAACGACACCGAAACCTCAGAGGATTCAGGAAAAACATATTCTATTACACTATCCTAAGTTCAAAGAAATCCAATTCCACAGCGTAAAGGAGATGTCAAACACTTACAGCATTAGTAAAAGCGGATAACACTTCAAGCCTTTTATACCTGCAAAGAACGATTGCCAGTCAATATATGCTTTACACAAGACGATATCTTTAACCAGATTATGACAATACATTGAAACAAATATAACTTCGTTGTAGTTTGAGAATCAAACGAAGTAGAATAAGAGATTTGCATCAGTTCAACTTAATTCTATACAGTGAATGCAAGTTATCAACTCACCCGTAAGTGTAAACATGATCAGGCTTTTTCCGAGATGCAGCCATTGAAAACAAGGAGAATGTAAGAAGACCACACCCGAATGTCAAATGAAATGCATCAGACACCAAACCTGTAAAAAGAAACGAAATGGAAGCAAACCCAATTACTAACTCCATATGCATACAATCTATGATACTCTAGAGCTTCAAAATTTCCAGAAAGTTGCAAAATTTCTTACCGACACGGCCACTAATAAGCCCAATCCCGAACTCGGTCGTGGAATACGCAACATTGAGGAAAATCATCAGGAAAAGCCTCTTCATTTGCCGGTTGCCATACCTTATGGCCCTAAAGGCGGAAACCGCCGACAATTTCTCACTTTTCCCTCCGGCGGCCGAGTCATTGGAATCGCCAAAAGCACCGTCCTTTTGGTAATTGAAAGAGTAATTATAGATCTCCGGCGGCATATCGATGCTGGAGGAGGTTCGGGAGAGAAAAGGCTTCCCCGCGTCATTGGGCAGGAAGGAAATCGGGCTGCCGGGAAGATCCTGCGGCTGGCGAAACGAAGATTGGCGGGAGTAAGCGTACCTCCGATCGCTGCCGCCGAACCCCAAATCACCGCTCCATGGATGCCGCGACTCTGTACCCTGCGCCGGATACTTGAAGGAATCGCTCTTCCGCATTTGGGAGGAGCAACCAGAAGAATAAAGGACGACGATTTAGATACAGTCAATCCCGATTCGAATCAATGACCCCTCAGAAGCAACTCGAACGAATCAATCGACCCGAGAATTTCGCGGGAATCAGGTGGCTTGGTCTTGTGGATTGTGGAAACTGAACTGCGGTGCAGATGGCGAGAGCCCGGAAGAACTGAACTGCAGATGCAAATTGGGGAAGGAAGGCCGAGGAGGAGGAGACTGCAACGTTCGAAGTCAAGACATCAGATCTGTACCGTTAAATCAAAGAGAGAGTCGTTGCGAGGACCCATCTCAACGGTCAGAGATTGAGTGTCAAGGACCATTGCGGATATTTGCATTGGTTGGTTTGTGGTTTGCCCCGCCCGCCATTGTTCCCCCACTCCCCCTTGAGATTTTTGGTTTGCAGTTTCCAACTTTTCCCTGCGAAATGTTTTGTACAAATTACGAGTTGATTCCCTTATTTTCAGTATCAGACAACCGAGTCCCTCCTGTGGGAAACTGGTGTCATCTGCTATGCTTTTCTGCAATGAATTGATTGCAACACATATTGTGTAGTATTCAATTGAATCAATCACAATTGGTTACATGACTCTGCTTCAAATTCAACAGACAAACAGAGGGTAAATTGAAAGATCTCTATGTACATTGTCTTTGTGGACATGGGTTACATGTCTTCACTTGCACTGTTAACAGGTTTCATACTCAAGTCTGACATAGGTCTGAATAAAAACTTGGCCTCCCAAGATCGTTGAAAGCAGCTCAGGCTTGTCAGGACTGCATATGATTGTCCAGTGTATAGGCATGACTATCTGATGGGCTTGTGCCAGGCCTGCAACATGATCAACAACGACAACAGAGAAACGTAGTAGTGAGAAAATTGGCAGTGAAATCAATCGAGAGTGGTGTAGACAAAACAAATAGAGAGTGACCAGTAGTAGTAGAAGGAAACAACTTTGGAAGCATCTCGTGTCCGTTGTTTAACTCAATAAGGGTGTAGAAAAGTTATTCAGTGATGATAAATGAACTCACAGGCCACAGCCAAGGACTGGATACACAGACAAACTCTTGTAAATAATCACACTCTCGGAGATGCCACACACATATACAGCAAGGTTCCCGGACATCATTCACCATTTTCTCATTACAGTTAGCACCGCTCAAGTGCTGAAGTGCAATGACAACAATGACAAAGCAAATTGAATTTACTGTCAAGAAAGCAATCTATTAGTACCTCTTGTTAATGGTGCCATAGTGAAACTTCAGCCTGCCAGACTTGACATCCTCCAAGTACTATAACCATAGAGCACAAGGATCAGAGATGACGATGACAAGTAACAGGAAAAAGAGCTAAATAGCCATGCCAAGAGGCCTTTACCAATTTTAGAGTCACCACCATCGATGAAAAGGACAAAGAATCAAATGGTATATCCTCAAGAGAAAAAAGTTGGCAGTCTGATGATTCTGGGCCCGGTGAAAAGTGGGGCTTCTTCAGCTTAGCTAAGAAAATTATGTATGTCTGTCCAAAGACAAAAGCAAACACAGAATTCCTTCAGTTAAGATTTTATAAAATGAACAAGAGTTCAGAACCCATAATCAGTGTGTCTTCCTTACTTGACCAATTAGGGGGATATCAAGTTGTGCGAAAGGACAAAGCACTTCCACCTCTGCCTGAGCTTCCTCCCAGGTTTCCCTCATTGCTCCCTCCATGGCTGACTCTCCAACTTCTAAATATCCGGCAGGAAGTGTCCTACATCAAAACAGAAGAAAATATTCCACTCATACATGGAAAAAAAGGCACAGAAGCTGACCACACTATGAGAAGCATAAATGCAGATCGTGTTATTATTTAACCAGAAGACATGTACTGGCATATATAGGAATTGTGGGATGAAAAAGAAAATTGCATCGTTTTATTCCTAAGTTGCTCTTACCAAAGACCAAATGATGGTTGGATGTTTCGCTTGCAAAGCAGAATTTTGTTATCATGCTCAATGAGGCATCCAACAACCTGTGAATGTTAATAAAACAAGAAAGGATGAGCATTATGCTTCAGGTTTAAAATTCAAAGAATTATGATTCATCACCTTAAACCTTAGTCGAGAACATAAGATGTATAATTAAAGGCAGACGATAAGCTTAACAAAGTTCAAAAACGCCCACTGATAAATTATCATGTACTAATCTAGAGGAGCATGTGAAATTACTCTCCGCATTCTTCTTCACTGGAACTGCCTCCATTTTTGGGAGTGCAAGAGAAGTCTGCAAACTCGCCAAAACGTCCACCCACATCTTAAAGTGTTTCAACATGTCAGCTCTTATTCACTTTGAGAACCCTTTCTAGTGAAGTCTAGATCAGCAAGCTCGTAGTCATCATTTTGTTCTCATCCAAACGACTTCACATTCACAATTGCAAGATGATAAGATCCTCTTAGTCGTTGGCTTGTCTTGGACGCTAGGAATTCTAATGTTAAATTAGAACCCCAGGGTTCCTAGGGTGCTTAGTGGTAACCAATCAAGGAAACAACCATTCCAGCAATAACGCAATTCAGTCCAATCTGGAAATCCTTAATACACGTCAATGCTAATTCAAGAAGATAAAAACTGCGTCAAGTGCCCTCACCTCAACAATAGAATGTCAATTGGGGTAATGCTGATTATGGAGGTTAGACTAAACAGGACACAACCACAAAAGAAAGCTCTCCCCAAAACATCAGGTAAACAAGAATGCAAATGCATCATAGTTCATACCATTTTAGGGTTTTGGTATGCGATCTTCCCGCAGAGCGTACAGATAGCTCTCGTCTTTTCCTCTCCATCGGGTACCTCATGCTTCGTTGCTCCACCACACCACTGGCAAAAATTGATCTTGCGGCTACTTGCCTGATCACAGAACGCAGGATTCTAAACAACTGCATTTCGTCTGAAATACCCAGACAACAAGAACAGAACTTTCGAGCTCCAAATTGAAACCCCCAAAAGAGTTGAAAAGACTTTGATAGGGACAGGAGCAAACTCACAGCCGACAAAGCAGTAGGCGAGGGCGAAGGAGGAGAAGGGGCGGCCTCCATCTTTGGGTCGGACCCAGTTGAGTAGACGCGAACGGGCTCGGAAGAACGATCCGAAACGGGTCGCAATGACAGGGAAGAAGACTTGAACCGAGGAGCAGTAGTTGAATGGTGGGATAATGGATTGGCGGAGAGGGAGATGGCAGGACCGCTAGTGGCAAGCGGTTTCCATCGACAACCGAAGAGCCTTGACGAAGAAGATGAACTCAGAACCTGTATTGCTTTTAGCATTGAGGAGAATCAAGAACTGAAATCGGGAGGAGGATTAGGCAGGCAGAGATTGTTTGTTCTTTGAGAGAGTGGTGGGGTTGTCGCGGTCAAACACTATAGCAGTTGGAGTTCTTGGAATTCTTGGAAGGTGAAATGAGATGGTGAGGCATAAGAGAGCCCCGGCGGGGAAACGGATTTCAGCTTGATTGATTTCGTGGTGATCGATGGCGAGATACAGTGGCGAATTGAAAGCTTTATCCCTATCGGAAATTTGTACCCCTTCTGCCCAACCGCAGCTTCTGAGCTCTTGCTAAAATGAAAGGATTTGGTTTAACTGTTAGGGTGTAGTATACGATGAACCACGATCAAACATCTCCTAATAATTCGAGTTATTGGGATCAATTGGTTCTGATATCAAAGTCTTCTGTTATCGAGAGGTCTTGTGTTCGATTTCCGGTGATCCCATTTGTTAAGCACGTGATATTCGAACGTGTGCAAACTTCAAGCCATTATGAGTGGCTTTCGTTTGAGGGGGCATGTTAGTGTGTGGTATATGATCCACGATTGAACCTCTCCCAACAACTCGAGTTATTTGGATCAACTGGTTCTTGACATTAACTAGTGAAATGGTTCGATTAATAATACAATTAATTTTTGTCGGATCATATAGGGGTTTAATAAAAATGTACAAATGAAAAATAAAAAACATTATATCAAATGAATTTAATCATATATAAAACATATTTACTTACACTTCATAGTCATACTTAAATAAAATACGATATTTCAAATAAAATAACTACTCATATTTAAATACAACATGTAACGTCCATATCTAAATTTTAATACTTAAATCCAACAAAAAAAGTTAGCATTTAAATTTTAAATTCATAAATTAATTAATTCTTTTTATTATCACATTCACTAAAACTACATCATTTGCTTAGAGGTCATAAATCGAAAATGTCAGTCATGCTAGTGGTATTCACGTCGGTTCTACGACCAGCAACAATTGAATCAGGTTAAACTAGCCGACATTCCACCGGCGTGATAACTACACTCATTTGAGAGCCAAATGATAAAAAAAAATTGTCATAAAGAGATAAAAAGGACCTCTTACTCATAATATTAATGCAACGGGAAATAGAAATCCTCTTAGAGTTATACATAATCAACTGATGAATCTCTCGTTCAAAAATAAGAATGAAACGAAAATTAAAAAGAGCATAAAGACCTCAATGAGTCAAACAATCAAGTAAAAACATTTCTTCTCTATAGTTATGATAGGTTCATCCAAAAACAAACGAGGAAAAAACAAAGAACTAAGCTTTTTTCAAAAACAAATTCCCGCAGAACTCGTAATAGAGTAGCTGGAGTTGAAGCGCGCGGCGTTTGCGTTCGAGGACAGGGGTGGGATGAAAGAGGGCGGTCCGCAGGTGGAAAGAGCTTCTTTGAAGATGGGAAATGGCTGCTTTAGCCGCGATATTCATCGTAATATTGCTCTGCCAAAATTTTTGCGGGGTAGCAGTACCACCATCCTTTCTTTTTGGAGCGGGCTAGCACTGATGGCGTGTTGGACTACACTCTGGGTTGACGTGGTACAAGTCCAAGCCCATAATGAGTGAACTGAATCCATAATCAGTGTTCCTCAAACAAGAAAAAAAAAAAAACTAGCGAAGGAACGAAGTTGCTCAATCGAGAGGGGACTAGATACTATAACAACACCTTTTGTGTTGTTATTGTAACAACACTAGCCTCCAACCAATAGGAAGCTAGGTTTATGATGATTTTTTATTAGATGAGTTGACCTAGTGTAAAATCAAAGCAGGGGTATAATTGTCATTATGAAAATATGTTTAAATAATAATAAAAAAATAAAAAATATTTTTTTATTTTTTGCCAAAAATCTTGGTCGCCGGAATTCGGCCACTGGTCGCCGATCACCGGAGTATGCTTTTCGTCGTCGGAATATGCTATTTTCTCATCGGAATATGTCACCGGCGCCGAAATATGCTCACCGGATGTTATGGTTAGCATTGTGAGATTTATGGTTTGGTTTCTCACATTTTTGTATGCCTTTTGTGGTTTGTTTTATCGCGTTTGTGGTTTGCATTGAGAAGTTTCTGGTTTGCTTTATCGTGTTTGTGGTTTGCATTGAGAAGTTTCTGGTTTGCTTTCAAAAATTTTGTGGTTTGCATTGATGGGTTTCTGGTTTGTTTTAATATATTTGTGGTCTGTATTAGAACGTTTATGGTTTGTATTTTTATGGTTTGATTGATTGTGTTTGTGGTTTGCATTAGGAGGTTTTTGGTGTGCTTTCGTAAATGTTTTGGTTTGCATTGTGGGGTTTCTAGTTTGTTTTAGGAGATTTGTGGTATGCATTAGGAGGTTTCTGGTTTGCATTAAGAAGTTTCTGGTATGCTTTCGAAACTTTTGTGGTTTGCTTTGCGAGATTTCTGGTTTGTTTTAATATATTTGTGGTCTGCATTAAGACGTTTTTGGTTTGCTTTACCGTGTTTGTGATTTGCATTAGGGGGTTTCTGGTGTGCTTTTCAAAATATTTATGGTTTGGTTTGTGGGGTTTCTGATATGTTTTAGCGAATTTGTGGTTTGTATTAGGAGGTTGCCGGTATGTTTTTTGTGGGTTGTTTTATTGCGTTTGTGGTTTGCACTGAGGAGTTTTTTGTGTTAAAAATATTTGTGATTAGAATTACTAAACACCAATATAAACACAAATAATTGTATGAAATTGGTTTATCCACCCACTGCCACTAGACAATAATAGATTCCTAATTCACCTTCCCTTCTCATTCCATACACTTTCTTCTTCTCACACCAACAGAGTAACAATGGCTCCTACACCAAATTCACGAGATCCAAAAAACGAAACTCAGAGCCCAAAACCTCCGACCTGCTAGTAATCGACCTTCACCTCAATGATCGACCCGATTTCGCCAAACCACATCTCCAAAAACCAACTCTGCCGCAACTCCTCCATCTCCGTCTTCTTCACCCGCCACCAACACAAGTTCTCGGCTGACTTTGCATGTTTGCGGAGTGGTGGGACGACGAGATATTCATTGATGGCAGGCCGGAATCCCAACTAATTCCCCCAATTGCTAAGCTGACAACAGGGGGAGTCGGCACCGAGGTCATCATCGGGAAGACACCGCATTTTTTGGTCCACCTGCAGTCCTGCATCAATAATCAGAAAGGACTACTGAGAACCCAATTTCACCCTCCCAATCCTGAACAGAACCCTAATTCCCATATCTGAAATCTCCATCGAATTCGCCCAACCAAAAAAAGGGATAGCCAAGCAAGTAAGGACATACACCAGTGGAGTCTAATAAGATTCGGGTTGGTAAATGGAACGAAGAGGTCCAGAGGATTACTTACTTCGACTTCTGCGGCGGCGGCTTGAACTTTCTTTTCTTCTGCTCCGGTTCCATTCTCGCCGGTTCTCGTACCAGTTTAATTTTACATCTGTCTTTCGTCTCAACTCTCATCGTCAAACGGCAGTTCCGAGTAGCACGTCCAAGGAAAGGCTACTACTACTCATCATCCTCTGCTTCCAATTGAGATCAGCCATTTTGGAAGAGGGCGGGATCGGAATCGGACGAACCATCAATTCTCCCTCACGAACCTTCGCCGGTTGTGGCCAAGTTTCCCCCTTCCAGTCTGGGGCTTCCCCGGTTTCTGAATCTGTGCTCGTTGCAGTGGGAACCCGAGATTTTCTTAGGGTTCGTCATTGGATTTTGTGTGTGTATATCTGGGGAAATCTTAAAATTCGATCTATGGAAGGTCAATTGATTGTATGAGAATTGATAAGCTGACAACAATGGAATCGAGCTGGGGCTGCTTATTGGGTTTTAAATTTGGTGTGCTCGTCGGCGATCCCAGCGTTAGCCTCTCGAACGACCCGTCGCCGGTGATTGGTATCGCGACCGGGAAATTGGGGACCGGAGGAAGCTTCCCGAGCTAGTTGCTGGTCTTGATCGGAACAGCCGCTGCTTCTTGATTTCAATGGATTAAATAGATTTTATTTGTATTTTTTTATGTTAAATTACCCTATTACCCTTAATGAATCATGTTGTTACAATAACAACAGAGGAGCTGTTGTTATACTATCTGGACCCAATCAACAGGGCAAGGGGGATTCCTCTTAGTTGACTAAGTCTCCTGAAAATTATCTTGCATTCATATGGGATAACCTCACTTATCCTCATTAACCTTCTCCTTCTCAGTTACTAATTTTCAATGTTTTCATAATCGCATCGAAGATATAACAAGAGTCAAGAAAGTGATTCGCCATTTTTTGGTTAATCATATATTTATAAGTTCAACAATCATTATCCTAACATCCAGAACTAGGATTCTTCATAGCTAAGTGCAGTGGGAGAACAGTATTCCATGGAGAGAGAGGAGAACACGAAGGCTGAAGTAGAGATCATCGTGCAAGTAGTGATAATCTGCTCCAAGTCGTCGTCCGCCACTCATACGAGGTGTATCTTAGCCAAAAACCTGAAATTCTAATTTATACTCGCAGCTGAGAATTCCTCAAGTAATTACACGGCCGTATAACTTAGAATCCTGACCGTGTAACTCCAAAACGCATCGTTTAACTTGAACTACGCCAAGGGAAATCCACGACATCTCCTTACAGTTCGCCGGTCACGGAACTCGGTGTCTAGACCGTGGAACCCTCTATGAGAACCCACGTCTTGTCCTTGAGAAGTACGGTCGTGGAATTGGACCCCAGACCGTGTAACCCTGCTCTCCTTACTCTAAAATTCAATTCACCCTCCAGTTGTCCCAAAACTTGCTCCTTAGTGCTCAATCACGTCCAAGGACCTGAAATGTGACAACTGAACACAACTTATCATTAAATAGGTTAAGGAACACGCAAATCAAAGCTAAATCGATCAAGAAATGAGAGTGAAAACATATACAATTTATCGGGGAAAATTCCAAAATACACACATTTTATGAAAAAATTCTCAAAATACACATGTTTGGGCATCACTGCGGTTGTCAACTGCAGTGAATGCATTCAAAGCGGCAGACGAAAGCTAGCGGTGAATGCATAACCGCAGTTGTCGCCCGCGGTGAATGTCTGACCTAACACTGAAACTTCAAATGAACGTAACTTGGCGCTCGGTTATCCGATTGTAGCAAAAAAAAAATATTCCGCATAACTTTTCAAGATCTTTCAATCTGCAACAAGCCTTTATCCCAAAAAAATGTTTGCTACCCCGAACGAGCAACTTTTCGATTTTGCTAAACTTTGGAAGGCCATAACTTTTTGCTCCTCAATCCGAACGTCATTAAGTTTTTTTTATTGTGCATAACTTTTTAAGAACTACAACTTTTACTAGGAAGCAATTTTTTTAAAAAGAAATATTTTTGGGTATACGGGATTTTTGGAATAACTTTGCATTTACTTTTCACAAATCCAACATACATTCCAAAATTATGGTTATGATAAAAGTTGTAGTTCTTCAAAAGTTATGCGAAATAAAAAATATCATGACATTCGGATTGCAAAACACAAAGTTATGATCTTCCAAAGTTTGTCAAAATCAAAAAATTTCTCGTTCGGGGTAGCAAAAGACCTTTTTTGGGATAAAGGCTTCTTGAAGATTGAAAGATCTTGAAACGTTATGTGGAATCGAAAAAAAGTTCGCTACAATCGGATAACCGAGCACAAAGTTGCGTTCGTTTGAAGTTTCAGTGTTAGGTTAGGCATTCACCGTGGCCGTCAACCGCGGTGATGCATTCACCGCTTCGTCTGCCGCGATGGATGCATTCACTGCAGTTGACGACCCAGTGACCAAACATGTGTATTTTGAGAATTTTTTATAAAACGTGTGTATTTTGAGAACTTTTTTAAAAAAATGAGTATTTTGGGAGTTTCCCCTTTGTGGCCCTTCCTTCTGCTGGATGAGAGGATATGGCCTAAAGCCATAAATCAATGAAATTTGGCATTTTTCATGGGATTCCTCGTGATTAATAGGTACAAATTATCAGTCACAATACATATTTCACATTACTTTTGGTCGTTTGGTTTTGGTGATAGTTGAATCGATGTATTGTTATCAATGCATGTATAATAATAATATACATGTATATAAGAAAATTGGTGTATTGTAGTTTACATTGTTTGGTTTCTGTGATAGTTATTGTAGTGTTTAAATAAATTATATTACTTTATGGGTGAAATGTCATTTGTAACCTTTGTTTTTAGTATAAAAAAGCAACACACATAAAAAGGTAAGGATATAGTTGGAAGAAGATAAAAATGCAACCATCTCAATCAAACAATCTCAACAATCTCAACCAAAACTTGAGATTTAACTATCACTCATTTTGAATGATAGTTTGTGTCACATCAAGCAAACAATGCATGTATTGTTTGTTCAGAAAATTTAAAAAAACGATGCATTGTAGCATGTCAACCAAACTATCACCAAAATTAATTAGTCACAAATCATTATATTACGTCATTTTTCTTGTTCACTAAAACCATTAAACACGATAACCACATTTCTAACACGAAATTTCCTCCAATTAAAAGAACTTTTCCTGCAGTGATAATAAAACTGCCTCTAGACTATTAGGGGTGTACAACGGTATGGTCCATACCGCACCGCACCGAGCCAAACCGATGCTTGGACCTTACCGCACCGAACCAAGTATAATATGATTCGGTCCTTGATCCATGAATGTTATAAATACTTAAGAAAAATGTACCGAAATGACATTTAGATCGGACCAAATACACTGTTAGTCTTGTCCTTTATCCATAGAAATCTCTTACTATTAAACCGCGGTTCTCCTGCGTTTGGTCCGGTCCGAACCGAACCGGACGATTGCACACCCTAGCGCCTACAATTGCAACACATGCAGAGGAAATGAGGATGCCTTTATAGAATCTAATCTACAAAAAAAGCAGCTAACTGCTAAGATAACAAGGATAGTACATAAATGTGCCTTCTAATTGCCAACCCACATGCTGAAAAGGCCGGTTTAATTGTGGAAGGCAACTAGGCAAAGTACATCTGATAATTAGATGTGTTACCGAAAGGCTGATTGCCTTAATAGCGCGCTGCGATTCCTCGTGCCTGCAGGCTGGCTCTGCCTAACTTGTCCATCATTTACTTTTGTGCTCCCATGTGTAAAACAGCACGTCCTAATTCCTCACTTTCTGTTAATGACGCTCGCATGTCCTTAATCCTTTATTATTTGTGATTTAAGAACAAATAATGAGAGTTGATCTGATTTTTCCTTATCAACGATCAGATTATTCTATTAATAAGTAATGAAGAACAAAAATCGTTACAAGCAAGTCTCATATGAAGAACGGAAATTAGTTCTAGAGCGTTTTTTCGCCGCTTGATGATGAGTTACGCTCGTTGGATGAACGACGGTGTACAAGTGCAGAAGAAAAATTAGCAGTATAAACAGAAGATCGTAACAAGTGATCAATTTCTTACAAAAGAGCTTGTCCTTGGTGACCGATTGTAGACTTTAGCCTCAAGAGAGCTTGTCCTTGGCGATCAATTTCTTAACTCTCAAAAACTATAAGCGTAAGTTTTGTAATAAATTTGAGAAATATAGTAGCTTGTAAGACTTTAACCTCTCTGGCTAGTTCACGTTCTACAATTGTAGATTTATAGCGCTCCTGATTACTTTTTTTTTTGGCTCCGACACTTTTAACACAATTAAGGTATTTGTTTTGTCCTTTAGCAGCAAGAATTGATGAACAACCCAGCTGATGGAGTGAATAGGTATATATACATGCATGCATGATTCCAAAAATGACCTTATATTATCTCCTTATGCCAAACTCCAACGTCAAACTCTTTTGTATGCAGTGAACAACCATCATCTTATTAGAGTATGAATAATATACGTAGTATTATGTTATATTACGACTTACGAGTACTACTAGTAGTATGACAATACTTGTAAACTCGTGGTATAACATAATACTACTTAACCAACTACTCATACACCCAACTCGTATTTAGTGCAACTTGCTAGGATGAACAAACATCCATCTCTCAGTAAACTTATAATTAGGTAGGTAGGTATCGAATCATTTGATTTGATGGTGGAATAGAGTATCCCACAAATGAATCGAGCCATTACTGAACATTTTGGCATAAAATATTAATAAACAAAAGAAAATAGTGGAAAAAAACATAACTTGAACTCAAAGTTTTGCCGATCGACATTTTTCCGTTTGCTTCAAAGGCACCTCCTCCTACCTATATTCCTAAGTATTTGCTTCCTCGTCAAAACAACACAAACCTTTTCTGACTACAAACAGTAAGGATGAGTAAAACTAAATCTACATCCATTCTTCCCCTCCTAACGTTTTTTTTTTTTAAAATATTCTTTTACTTTTGGGGTTGTAAATAATAATTAGCTAGATTCAATAAATAACGAGCCTAGCTGCATAGCCATGCTATTTGGCTCCCGTTTTCCCTACGTTTTGTTCCTCACTAAGATTCAGATTAAACGAGCAACCCTCTTAATTAAATTAAGCTCATCAGTACGTAATTATCCGGCTAACGACCGATCTCGCACTCCCCTTGGGCTTCGATGCTCGACGATGAAGTGGTTTTACGTTTTAGTAATGTGGTACGTAGCCTTGCACAGTAATATATAGCAACTTATGACCATCTTCCATCTCAAATGACTCTTCTCTCAGAGTGTTATTTTTAAAAAAAAAAATCAGGAGTTTATCATAAATCAATCAGGCAGTCGTTAATTGGTAGTAAAAACTAAAAAGACACTTAATTTAGAATCCCCCAAGATTAGCGGCAAGAGAAGGGAGAGAAAAAAAAAACGGTCAACCAAACACACAAAATAACTGTCTTGCTCGCCCTGGCGAGAAGCAGTCGTGTGTAGCATTTTTTTGCCGAAATGCAGGGCACGTCAATCGGTCAATGACAGCACTGCCCGATCCACCGTCAGATCCAATGTTTGGTCAACGGAGACCGAGTCGTTAGGCAAAGAGAGAGGGTTGCATCGAATGGAAACGGGAACACCGGAACACAGACCCGCCACTCCGACATAATCTCCTGACAGTTGGAGGGCGGAATGCTGAGTTGGCAAAGTGGCCGGGCACTTTCCTTTTTTTCCCCCTTTCTATCTTTACTTTTGCCCCTCTTTTGTTGGGCCCCACCATTATCCTACGAATTAGGGGTGGGCATTGGGTGGGTCGGGTGGATTTTGACCATAAAATGCACCCACCCGCTCTTAAACGGATTGATAATTTTTAACCCACCACCCACCCACATTTAGTCTCGGGTTGGGTCGGGCGGATGGTGGATGATGCGGGTGGGTTTGTGGGTTCACCCACATCACAATGTATATAATATAAAGGAGTCAACTTGACATGATAATAGGTGAAGATAATCATCGAGAGAAACAAGTAGTTGAAATAGGGCGAAAAATGTCGAATTAGTTTTTAAATTGGATAGAAATTCTATTATGAAAGAGTTTTCTACAGATTGAGACGATTATTAGGTGCAAAGAACTAAAGAATATAATTCCACAAAGGAAAGAGCGGTGATCTAGGCACAAGAATTAGAGGAAAAAGTAAAGGGAAGAAGAGGGGATCTCTATTTGGAAGGTTGGCTTTGAGGTTCAAACTCCAGGAGCAGTCCGAGTTTATATCTAACGTCTCCACTCTCTTCTCTCTAGCGCCAACGACTTTGATCTTTTTGCTGTTGGGTTGAGTGGGTCACCCGCACACTCACCCACAACCCACCCACCACCCGGCGGATGGCTCCCAGCGCAACCCGTCACCCACCCACTTAACGAAATTCGGGTCAAATGCGAGTGGATCGGCCCAAACCCGCGGATGATCCGCCCGCATGCCCTGCCCTACTACGAATGAGTTGAAGCACACCGTTTTAATCTCTGTCCTACCGGAAAAAGGCATCCGAAATATAGAAAAATCCTAAAACCTTTTTTCGTGTGGAATCTTTTTCCTGGACTAATTTGCCCTTCCTTTTCTTGTCATTTCACCGTCGAGTCCTCGCTGCTGCCCTTTGATTTGTTAGACACCAAGGTCAAGGGTCGATTAAGGAATTCAATGAAATATATCACCACCCAAGCAAGTACTGCACAATTGATAATCCAAAAATAAAGTTCACGATTCTTAAACAATATTTATAAACATTATTGTTTCATTCGTACTTTGGGGGACGATAATTATATCAGTAAAATCGATTGTCAATATAGTGGACGTGGTTGTAAAATGATGCCTAAAACAATTGAAATTTGTATCCAAATAAGTGTAGTTTAGAAATTCCTCGAAGAAAAATCGAAATGTTCGAAGACCTCATAGTGTAACTAAGCATCTGACACTGTAAAATAAAAAAAATGATCGGTAATTCCTCTCATCAGGAGCCCAAGTGACTAACCTAGCTATTCAGTTCTCAAATACATTAGTTAACTATAATTTTTGTTGTTGTCATAGACATTAGTTAGCTATAATTACTTTGGAGTTCCATAATCCTGTATATTAAAAAAAATAAAGAAATTTGGCTATGGGTTGCGTATATGACCAATATACCCTTGGTTGGAGGGACAGGGACAAAGCGCAGCAATTTTGAGGACCTGGAGAGGGCAAATCCGTCCGGCAAGGCCGAAAGTGAGCCAGCTGTGTTGCATCACGAGCATGACGCGCCATGGGGGTCCGTCGATCCGACAATTTTTAAAAAAAGCAACGGACAGGATGCTTTCGGGGAGCGAATTTGAGGTTCATTTAAGGTGAATTTCTTCACATTTGCATTTCACACTCTCCCCGAAAATCCATTTAAAAAAACAGGCCCCCCCCAATTCCCTTTTCAGATTATTAGCTTAGCCCTCTCTCTTTCCTCTCAATAGCCACATCCCGCCCTCAGCCGAACGAAACCTGCCGAGCCTGGTCGCGTTACCACAAAACCCCGATATCCACTCCCTGCGGCGGAGAATCCACCGGCCGATTCAATTCCCCGGCATTCCTTTTCCAACCAGGTGAATTCGCAACTCCCTCTCTTCCTCATTCCCGTCCATTCTTCTGATGATTGTGCTGTGTCTTTTTTTTTCCTCCTTCAATCGGAAATGTGCATTTTCTCGCCGTCCGGTGGTTAACTCATCGTTGGAGATCTTGAAAATGCTAGTTTTTTTTTACGATCTGCTCATTTCCGATACGGGAATGGTGCGGTGATTCTCCATTGGTTGTGGAATTAACATTGTTCTTCATTTTGCACTGTTTAAAATCATTAAAGGCGGTTACGTGCTTAATTTCTCATGAGATAGGGTTCATGATTAGCGTCATTCTTGTTTCTGTGATTGGAGAATGCTTGGCTTGGTAATTGGATAGCAACATTTACTATAAACTCAATTGAGAATTCAATTGTAAAATTCGATAGGACATGTAAAATATGTATATCATTGTTATAAGGATTCTTTTTTTGTGGCAATGGATCGTTTTCGATAAGTTAGTATCTCGATTTCGATGTTATATTGATCTGAGACATGGATTTCCTTCCTAACAGGTATTAGGAAATGGCAGAAGGTGAGGATATCCAGCCCCTCGTCTGTGACAATGGTACTGGAATGGTCAAGGTACTTGCTTCCAGTCCTTTTGTCAAACTGGGTAATATTGTTTGTTGATTGTGATCCCAATGTAGTTTCTGACATGTTTGAGAGGAATTTTACAATGCTATATAGCATTGGTGCTATAGGTTTTTGCTTTTATGGTACAACTTGAAATTGTACATTTAACGTTATGGTACAACTTTAGATTGTACCTATACTTTTTGTACAAATTCTTTTATGGTACAACTTGAACTTGTACCTTTATGTTCTGGTACAACTTCAAGTCCTAAAGTTGTACCATAACATAATGATACAAATTCCTTTATGGTACAACATAAACTTATACATTTAGTGTTATGGTACAACTTTAAGTTGTACATTAAAGCACCAATACTATATAGCATAGTAGAAGTGCTCCATGTTTGAATGGTTTTTACCAACTTTTTTGTAGGCTGGGTTTGCCGGAGATGATGCTCCGAGGGCTGTCTTCCCTAGCATCGTGGGACGCCCTCGCCACACCGGTGTGATGGTTGGTATGGGCCAGAAAGATGCTTATGTTGGTGACGAGGCTCAATCAAAGAGAGGTATTCTGACCTTGAAATATCCGATTGAGCATGGTATTGTCAGCAACTGGGATGACATGGAGAAAATTTGGCATCATACCTTTTACAATGAGCTCCGTGTGGCGCCGGAAGAGCATCCGGTTCTTCTCACAGAAGCCCCTCTCAATCCCAAGGCTAATCGTGAGAAGATGACGCAAATTATGTTTGAGACCTTCAACACCCCTGCTATGTATGTTGCCATCCAGGCCGTCCTTTCTCTTTATGCCAGTGGCCGTACAACTGGTGAGTCAGATTCATCATCTGTCCTTCTGTTTGTCTAATTTGTAGACCCAGTTAGACTTTAAGAGTTCATAAGGTAACAATGAAGTTATTGCTCTATATTAAACAACACAGTTAACATCATTAACATCTTTTCCACACACGAAAAAGTGAACGTAATAGACTGGATCCATAATGTGGGTGTTCCTTATTAATAGTTAGGTTTACAGAAGGCAAAGCCATCTTTATTTGGCTATAAGTACAATTTTTCCTACCATGAAAAGCTTGATGAAGTTTGGTTCACAGGACCTTCATCAAGTGGAACCCCATCTTACTATATACCATTTTATGTGTCTCAATGATGCTGGTATTACCAAGAAGAGTTTTCTTTGCCCCCTCTGATTTAATGAATAAGCTGGTTTTCCTCTGTTTCGTTGTTGACCAGTGATCTTCAAACTTTGGGTGTCTGTTTTAGCAGTGACTTTTTTTCCAGAAAAGTGATAGCCTAAGTGGAGAAAAATTGTTTGGGTTCTAGAGAACCTGTAGCTGATAGTTGATCAGATGGTAGATAGTTGGTCTAATAAAGGAAGAAACAAAGTGGATTGACTATAATGATATGACCTTTATTTGAAAGGGGCAAAGTTTGAAATGAAACTTTTCTAGAGAGATGACTTTTAGATTTTAGTAATTTGTGGTGTCCTACTTGAATAGCTGTTTTACTTGAGTGTCTGTTTTTGAGCTGAAACAAGCACAACCTATGGCTTTTGTGACTGAATGTTAACATGATCCTTGGATTCTTGTTTCTTTTTCCTTATAGGTATCGTTCTGGATTCTGGAGATGGTGTCTCCCACACAGTCCCCATCTACGAAGGATATGCACTCCCACATGCTATCCTCCGTCTGGATTTGGCCGGTCGCGATCTGACCGACGCCCTCATGAAAATCCTGACCGAGCGTGGCTACTCCTTCACCACCACAGCCGAGCGAGAAATCGTGAGGGACATGAAGGAGAAGCTGGCCTACATCGCGCTCGACTACGAGCAAGAGCTGGAGACATCCAAGACCAGCTCATCAGTCGAGAAGAGCTACGAGCTGCCTGATGGACAGGTCATCACCATTGGAGCTGAGAGGTTCCGATGCCCTGAAGTCCTCTTCCAGCCGTCCATGATCGGAATGGAAGCTGCTGGGATTCACGAAACCACTTACAACTCCATCATGAAGTGCGACGTGGATATCAGGAAGGACCTCTACGGCAACATTGTTCTCAGTGGTGGATCCACCATGTTCCCTGGCATTGCGGACAGGATGAGCAAGGAGATCACCGCGTTGGCTCCCAGCAGCATGAAGATCAAGGTCGTTGCTCCTCCCGAGAGGAAGTACAGTGTCTGGATAGGTGGCTCTATCCTGGCTTCCCTCAGCACATTCCAGCAGGTACTGCTTTGCCCGACATATAAGAACTTGTGGGTCGTAATTTCTGGTCGATTGGTTCCCCCTTTTCGATCTAACAGTAGCCATTTCTTTGGTCTTGTGAGTGCAGATGTGGATTGCAAAGGCAGAGTATGACGAGTCTGGACCATCCATTGTCCACAGGAAATGCTTCTGATCGAAATATCGTATTGCCGGAGGAGCCTTGGCGAACAATATACATAATACTATACCTTTTGTATCGAGGAAAGGAAGTTCTACTTCTACCTGAGAATCACGTGGGTTGCAAGCAACATGTTCTCTTCCATCTATATATTTTTTGGTTTAATTTCGGGTCTTGTGCTCTGTTATTTCTTATTTGTCTGGACAAGAAACATTTTTTTTTTCTCATTTTATCATTCGGATATGTTATTTGTAGAAGAAGAAAGAGTTTGTGTAATTTTGTAACCTGATTTGGTCGTGGGTTAAAAAGTTTTCAGGGCATTCATTATTCCTATTACATAATTGGTCGTGTAACAGTCTATTTTTGTTCTAAATAAGAGTAAAAAAAAAGGAACACTATAAATTACATTCCTCTGTTTCCATGGTAAGTTGTAGTTAACACTAATTCCATTTGCCACCTGTCCAATTAACCCAAGTGGCTGTATTTCCAAGCAAACACGTGTAAGGTCATTCAAACACTGAAACAAAGAATGAACAGAACAGAGCTTGGCATTATGTGAGAAGATTCAAAGAGTGACATCATTATCAGGCTGCAAAATATCTCGCATTGGGTTGCTGTCGTCATGACATGAGCTAATTATACAATTAGTTGAATGAAGCTCATCGTCAGTAATCAGTATAGTCTATAGACTGAAACTACCAAACTGAAACAACAGTAGCCTCTTCTTCCTATTCCACTCCATGCTCTTCACAGTATCAAACCCAAAAAAAAAGTATGTGCTAGCTTTAGCTAAACCCCTTGTGAAGAAGGAACTCTGCTGAAACTCGACGGTCCAACTGTATCGATGAATCCGCGAAACGAAATCTCAGGAACCTCGGCCACATTCTGCCCTTCATCATGATGATCACTGTCGATGAAGATCACAACCACTGTTATATCATCATGGAACCTCCTCCTTTCCCCGTTTCCCTTCGCCTTGAGCTCCTTGTACGCCACGCCTCTCTTCTTGCATACTTTGTTCAATGCTGCTTCCACGAGCCTCCTCGCGATCCCCTGAAAGAAGCAGCAACAAACACGCACAATGCAGCTCAAAACCAAAGTGAAGTTTGAACACACCATGAACCCAACCAGTCTTTCTTTCAGTGAGGATACATACCGTTCGTGGATTTTTGTACACCATCTCCACTGCCTCCTGGTTTGAGACGTGTTCCCACAGCCCATCCGAAGCAAAAATGAGGAAAATGTCTTCCGGCTGCAGAACTCTCAACAGTAGGGATGGTTCTGATGTCAGCACGGGCTTTCGAACCGGTTCAGGAAGGTGGAACCGTGGGAATGACGGCTCCATAGCAAACTCGGGCCCCTTCAAGTATGCATCGCCTATTGATCTAGACACCTGATGGCAATAAGTTCCAAACCAATATGAGGAAATCGACTCAAGATGCTATCTTTATCTACTGCATTGCATTGCCAATTTGAGATCAATAGTGAACAAACTATGAAGGCAGTAGAGTAGGAAACCTGGATAATGCCTTTGATGCGCCAAACTCCTTGCTTCAGAACAACAATATGTGAATCATCTGGATGCATTAATTTCAGTTCTTGTCTGACCTCTTCCATGCAGGCATTATGATCTCTGGTCAACTGCTCGGCGACTATCTTCTTCGACCTGCGGAGAGAACCAACCACTGCCCTGGAATCCCCAACATTGGCAACGTATAGAGTGCCATGCCAAATCACACCAGCCAAGCAACAAGATCCAACTGCAGCAATCTCTGGCTTTATTCCAATGCTTCTACGGACAAGAGTGAGAAACCCTTTTTCAGTTGCAGAGAAGGCATTTCTGAGAGTGTCTTCTGAGATGTTTCCTCCTCTTGCAAATTCTGTATAGAGAGAAACGAAAGTGGTTCAACAACTTGGCCATTTGCTAGTTAACCTCTCATTGCTGAAACTGCCAGAATAAGTCCATGGCATTGAAGAAAACACCACTTCCCATAGCTAGTTAACTACCCCAATTTAATCAAGAACGTTCTGAATTAAGAAACAAGGACGCCACAATAAATTTGGAGCAAGTCTTACCAAAAGGGGAGAAAGAAAAGGGTCGCAGAAGAAGCGGGGAAACAAGGGAGACTCTCTATGTTCAGGTGATTATCAAATCGAACTATGGAGTTTGGAAATGCAGCAATTCGGGCTACAAACTATCAAAGAAACCCATGAACAGAATAGGGCGCGGCCACTTTTTCCAGATTGCTTAACAGAAAAGCAACAAGAACGCAGATTGGTACAGGGCAACGAACTCCCTAACAGAAAGGAAAAGCCATGGCAAACACAAAATTCGTAGTCCGCAAGCTAAGAACAAGATTCAGATATCACGAAACCCACACAGCGGAGAAACGAAATTAACCATCCAATAAACCAGAATTGTCCAATTCCAACGGAACCCATTAACGATGTAAAGAAGAAGAAGAAGAAGAAAAGGCAGAGAAAGGGAAAGACTAGTCTGTTGCTCACCCATCACGTTCTTGAACAGATGATCAGAGATGAATCGAGAAGCTTCAGGGCCGCCATGGCCGTCGTAGACGCCGACGAAGACGGCATCCCGGCCAGTCTCGACCTGGCTGTGGTCCTCAATTACCGCATTCGCTTGAAGCACCGCGAAAGAAAACTCCCCACAAGAATGCCTCTCCAAATCCCTGGACCAGAGAAGCGAGTCCGCTCCGCCGTCGTTGCCACTTCCACTACTACCACCGTCATCCTTGTTCATGCGGGCATACCTCCTCACCACGGGTCTCCAACACGCCATAGCTATCTTTGCAAGCCACGAGAACAACATCCTTCATTTCCCTTCAAGACGCCCACGGAGAAACAGTTCGGAGCACGGAAAGAGGGGGAAATTGAGAAGGTTTTTTTGGGGATCTGAGGTGGGTCGACTTCAAGAAAGCGACGGATCGCAGTGGGGAGAGCAAGAAAGAAAGAAAGAAAGAAAGAAAAGGGAGGAGGAGGATGCCGTCAAGTGAAGGGAAGTAGCAGTGGTAGTAAGTAAAGTGAAGGAAGGAAGGAAAGCAGAGTAATGGGAGGAAGAAGAAGAAGAAGAAGAAGTAAAGCTTCTAGAGAGAGAGAGATGGCAATGCGGGAAAGGGGAGTAGAGAAAGAATCATGGGGAAGACGGCATTTTACTATTGTGGGTCTCTATTTATTTTGCTTCTTCTTCAAGATCGAAGGTAGAGGGAGAAAGAAGGAAGGTTCCTCTGGCGCTGGACCCTGCGGCCAAGCCCCAGGGGTTTTGGAGGAGAAGTTTAGAAAGAGAAATCAGCAGAGCGAGGAGAAAGTTGACTCTGCTTGCAAATTCGTCTCATTTTCTTCTAGTCAGTTTTTCTTTGTTTTCCCTTTCTTATGGATGCCTCTGATTTTCCTTCTCCCAACCGTCTTGTTATAGTAAGTTTTTCGTGAATCAACATAATTCGTTTTTAACATTATTGTTACTGCCAAGATGACGATATTTAATAATTTTGGTAAAATTATTATTTTTTTATAATCCACGAACATCCCCACACACCTCTCTTGAGTGATGACAGAGCGAAATTTTGGTAAAATTATATTCTTGAAAAAAAATCGTATTATATACAAACACACGGTCTAGTCAAGATCATAAACACAAGGGCAAGTTGTGCACTTATGGTGGTACTATTGGTGTGTTGTTTGGGGTGAGAATTCTAGGGGGTTCATTTGTGTTTGTTTGGTTATGAATAAGCATTAGTGGAGTTTTTTTTTTTAATTTGTTCGTCATTGAGCTCTTATTTTTTACGATGCGTTTTGTAGGTGTTGGACGTCGGAAATACATAGGGTAGTAGAAAGTGTACTGATTTTTGGTGGATATAGATCGTGGTTGAGGTGGTGCTGTGTCGTAAATCAGTTGGTATCAATAATTCGAGTAGTTGAGAGAATGTTGATTATGAATGTTACACTAGTCTCTGACATTGTAAAGTTAAAGACTTATTTCTTGCTATGCCCAACATTATGTTCTTTGATATGTTTTATGAGTAAGTGCACTTCTTTACCATACTTGATGAAGCGAGAGGAGCGTAGGAGTCCTCAAGTAATGATTGAACCGAGTGATTGGGAAGGTTGTCATACTGTTTGATAACACCCAGCTAGGTGTTGAGTTCACGATTCGAGCTTGAAACACCAAATCTAGCAACTTGTCGACGAAACCAAGCCGCCAATGACAATTTAAACGAAAAAGGATGGGGCCCTTGTGCAATCCTACACCTGGAGGAAGGCTCAAAGAGTTTATGTCGAAGCTCGTCCACGATCAAGGCGGTATTGATCGATACAAGAGCAGGTTCGAGCTTGGTTTTCTCGGCCAAAGCTCTTCAACCAAAAACTAGCGGCAAGACTTCGTTTAGGGTTTTTGATTTTCTGTATTCAACTCAAAACTACTTTACAATACGTGGGTAGGCCTTAAATAGAGTTTACAGATGGTCTGCAAAGCAAAGGAAACCAAAACAAACAAGTTAAGCAAAACAGTCCCAATTTTAATACAAAACGGAAACTTAAAATGCAAGTAACTAGCTGGTGTTGATGTCAACTTGGAGACCCTCGTTCTCCATCCTCCCGCTTCCGATTGGTTCACCCAATACCTTGTTTTTGTACTAGAAAATGCGAACTTTCATGTGGACTAACCCTTGAAGCTTGAGTCCCAGCCAATCTTCGTGCCCTGAGCTTCAAAGTGCCCTTCTCGAAACTGTCCCATGCCTTAGGCAAAACCTGGCAGTTTGCCTATGTTGTCTTAGCCTTTTGTTGAGCTCGAAAGTCACTCTTCCCAGCATTGCCTCGAGCTCCCAGACAATCCAAGTTGTAAAGGGAGTTTCCATCTACAAAACAAACCGTTAAAACCCCATTTTCATCCACCCAATTTAGAGAACAATACCTGCAAAGAGAGCTACCCAAAACAGCTTCTACACTTAACCAAAAATCCAGGTTTTTCCAGCAAGTTGAATTGGGTTCTTGACTCAACAATTTCCACTTGTACTTTGATCCGTTTGGGATCATATCAGGCCCTCCCTATTCAAAAAACTTTGCCCTCAAACCTGGCTCCTTCCTCTGCTCGAATTGGGCGCAAAACTGACACCAAATGGGATCGAAAGTTGGCTGCGCAGACGGCAGCTTATAGAAAATGATGTTTGTGTTCTTCAAGCTGGAAATTGGGAATTCTGTTGCTATATGTTACTTTTGACAAGGAAGACAAAGAATTGGTAACCGATATATGTTACGTTAAAGTTAAACGAAATTTTCCCGTTTATTGTTATTGTCCTTGTGACAACATTATGTTTATTAGTACGTATTGTCCTTGTTTTGTGTACATATCATAAACATGACAAACAAATAGAAAATGATAGTATGGTAATATTAGACTTTAAGTTCTAAATCCCAAACCCTTAAATTCATGATAAAACATCTCAAGAAACAAAAGATTGTTACAAATCTGTAATGCCTCAAATCCTTGATAAATCCTTGAGTTTTTAAATTACAAAACCTTCATTTTTAAATCCATGAATCAAACAACCACTAAAAAAAGACAATTACACATGTTGCACCAAAAAATGTATTTCCTTGATGAAAATGTTTGTTTATTTTCACCAAAGGGAAAGATTGATTAAGACACTCAAATGACAAATCTATATAGATTGAAATTTCTAAACCAACGACAATCATCCAATAGATGGTATATGTTAATAAAATACTCCATATGATGGCCGTCCTTTTTGCCTATTTATTCCACGACTGGGAAAATAAGCCAGAAAGAATAAGGTTTAAAGGAGGGAGAGAAGAGCATCCCTAGGACGAGTACTAAACAAAAATAATCATAACCCAACCACTCCTTTCGTGATTCAATTCACCCATATTTATCGTTAAAATTAATATTTAATGTTGGGTACATATTTTTTTGCGGAACCTACCTCTCTTACGTTGAGTGCAGATATTTGAGATATGCAACTCGTAGATACCCGTCCCAACACGTGCTACATCTATTGTTCTAAGTATTCGTATCCAAAACATATTCTTATGTCGTATACAATCACATATGTGAGAGAATTTGAATATTTTGTTTTTTTTATATGCATACAATTTTAGAATGATAGCATATTATGAATGCGTTAGGTTACAATAAATAACGCTTTACCTTATTCCGGTTGAAAAATACTAGACATATGTTGAAGCAAATTACACTTTATCGAAGTATAAACAATTTGATACTATACAATTTGATGTTTTTCACTTTGATTTATTTGGTCGATAATTCTATAGAAAGTATATGTTAATGAAATACTCGATATACTAATCGGCGAGCTAGTAGCCGATTCATTGGCGTTACAATTCAACATAGTATGTGGATTTCTATGTTCCCTCGTTCTGTATTTATTCAGAATGTTCCCTCTCTTTTCTAGTTCCATATGATTTGATTGATGGCCGGCTGTTTTGCCTATTTTATTCGACGACTGGGAAAATAAGCCAGAAAGAGTAGGTTAAACGGAGGGAGAGAAGAGCATTCCTACTTCTTCTTTTTTTCGACCTACATAGCTTACCTCTTTCAACATTTCTTGTGAACTAAGCAACCGCGTCCGGGTTTTGTCTTAGAGTAGTGGATCTACAATCAAAGTACTGTTTTGGGGACGCCTGCTCTCTTTGTCCTCTTGCTTATAGATATACAGTATGGTTGCAAATGAGCCAAGCCGCTCGGGAGCAATTCGACGTTCAAATCGGGGAAAACTCGTTCGATACTAGACTCGTTATTTAACAAGCTGGCCCGCGAGCCAACTCGTGAGTAAACGAGTCAAGCTTGAGCTAGACCATGCTCAGCTTGAAAAGCTCGTGAGCTGGTTTGACTCGGTGGCTTGTCGAGCTAAGCTCGCGAGCTGGCCTGTTTAGAGCTAGTGGAAGAATTGATTATTCTTCTGAACATGAACATTATCTTGTTAATACGGATATGGATGAAAGTTAGTTGTAATTGATAGTTTCTAGTGTTTTTTTTTTTCATTTAAACTCTTATGTGCACACAATTTTCAGCAAGAATGATTTCAAATCGAGCTCATCTTGAGCCGAGCTTGTACTCAGCTTGACAAGCTGTGTTAATGAGCATTTACCGAGCTCTATCGAGTCGAGCTCGAGCTGAAAATTTTCGAAACGAGCCGAGTTCAAGCTAAGCAAAAACTCGACTCGACTCGGCTCGTTTGCAACCCTAAATTATACACGTATTGTGCTATTGTCTTGATTCAACAATTGCGATCAACATTATCAGAAACAAGCAAGATCTCGACCATCGACATGGATTGATTGCCATGGAAATTAATCGACTGTTAACTCAGGATTGGCTGGTCAAAATCAAACACCACCTACAGAAAATGTAATAGAGCTGCAATTTTTTTTTTTTTTTTTGTGGCTAACAAAGGGCATAATCTCTCTTTTGGCATCCATTCGATTGATGTCGGGAGACTTAGACACTGGATTCATTTTGATGTAATGGGTATTTCTAAAGAACGCTTTAATATTAATACGAGCACATACAGTCACACCCTTGGTGTTTGTCTTTCTGAAGAAAAAAAAAAACTTTCGAATTCTTCCAATTACATGTATTGCCTGATTACATTATCCGAAATCCCAACTTTCAAACGACCCCACATCACCAGAAAAATAATACTAGATAAGAATAAGACTACAGATCTTTTAACAGAGAAGCCATATCCATATTCTTAGTTTGACCTCAAAATCGTTCTTTCTAATTAGAACTACTCTTGGACTTACACATAGAGAGAGAGAGAGAGAGACAGGTGGGGTAGTGGTGCAGTGATCAATCCCTTTCCTCATCAAATACAGAATCAGTTTCAATTTTTTTTTTTTTTTTGGGTTTAAGCAAAGCACTAAATAGAGGAAAACACCAAATATATCAGGACCGTAGTACAGAAAGAAAGAAAGGTAGGTAGTTTAATTAAGGTAGATGGATGTCGTTTTCCAAGTGTAAAGTAGGAGAAGAACACATGCAGCATGTGAAAATTTTCTGTGATTCTTCTTTTCAACCTTTTCCACAAGCATTTTTGCCAGATGTTGTGGCCGCCGGCCGGCGGTGGGTGAGCTACCGGCCGGTAGCTTACCGTTAAACGGTGTCGTTGCAATAGGAAAAAAAGGCGGCATCTATAACCTGCCTGCTGGCTTCAAACGCGGCAATCTATCTCAAGGCTCCAACGTTTAAAGAAAAAAGAAAAACGCAAAAAAAAAAGTACGCCGTTGCCGGGGATCGAACCCGGGTCACCGGGTGACAGGCGGGAATACTTACCACTATACTACAACGACTTTGTTGAGAAGGTGATTAACTTTATTTGTTATATTTAATTAGTAGTGTTTCGATTCATGTTATATAGCCATTTGAAATGAATCATAACCTATTTTTGTAGGCCAGATAGAAATATCTTTTGCATACATTATACTGATTTTGGAGGAGGGAGGGCTTTGAAGTTTGAAGTGAAATTTCGATAGCAAATCCATTTTTCCCTTTTGTCTGTCATCATCATATATAATGCAAAAAGTTTTAGTTGATTAGGTACCAGATTATGGGTTGATTTTGTTCGAAAGAAAACATGGTTATGGTTTGATGAGCACATCAGTTAGGCTACGTTTCCTAATTGTGATGGGTTTATCTTTATAAGATGCCTACGATTTTGGTGCTTTGTACTTATAGGAAAACCGCACATGTGTAAAACGTGTGCACTTTAGATTCGATTCTCAATTTTATTTTAAAATTGATTTTTCAGTACGATACTGCGTTGAGCCAATATGACTTCAAACTTTTACTGGTCATACAAAATTCCTAGTTATGAAAACAACTCCGTAGAACCGACAAAAGTAGAAAAAAAGGTGCAAGTGTTGGAACAAGAATGAGATTGAATACCTAAACAATTATTGTATTTTTTTCTTGTTTGAATAGCTTACGGATCATTGTTATATATGGTTTGATCAAAAAGATTATATTGTGTGATAAATTGGTAATACTTAATAGCGACTTGTATGTTATATTCCTAGTTATATAGTCAATATCCACAATGGTCTTCGCTTTGAGATTAACATTGAATTTGAGTTCACACAAGTACATTAACCCACTAACCTTAATCGATTTGGTTCCGTCGAAACAAAACACAATCCAACTCATCATCAAGACATGATAATATAGCACATCGTTCCATTCATAGGAACAAAGGAAAACGAGAAAATAGAGAAGAGCACTAGATCACATTAAGCATAATTAGATCATTAATTAATAGACTGCAACGTCACTAATCAGGCGCCTGTGTCGATTGCCATACTGCTTCTCCAGTATCACCCTGGACGCCCCTTCTAACGCCTTCCTCCAGGCCTGCTCAATTCCAATCGAAAGTTAGACAGAAAAAAAAAAGTTAAAGCCCATAAAGCCTTACTGGATCGGGCCAAGCCCAGCCCAATCTAAGCAGTGAGAAAAAAATAAAAATATCCTTAACACCATTTACCTTTTCGATGGTGTCCATGAGAATGAACTTCTTGTTCTTAATCCCTCCTCTGCTGCCTCTGCCGCCGCCGCGCCACTTCTTCCTCGGCGCCGTCACCGGCAGCAGCGACCTCCTCTCCACCACCAATTGGGACGGGCTCTCGCACCCTTCCTCGTCGTCGTCCGCCGCAGCTCTTCTCACCACCACCGCCATCTTTCTCGAGCAGCTTCGCCTCCGTTTCCACGACTGCTTCGCCAACTCTGCTTCCTCCTCCTCTTCCTCCTCACCCAGCTCCGCGAACTTGCGCAGCAGCTCGTCCGAGGATCTCTTGGTGACGTGCTGGACTGAAGCGGCGGCGGCCGCCGTAGCGGCAGGATCGACAATCGCGCCCATTGCAGTAGTAGGAGAAAACAGAGAGAAGATTGGATCAATTAAGAGAGAGAGGGAGAAGGGGATTTGTAAGAAAGGGGAACAGAGGATGGCGAGAAATGGGGAATTATAAGGGATCGAGGTAGGAGTTATGGGCGGTGGAGGGGAAGAGGGCGATGATGAGATTGGTGGGAAATGTAACGTTTCTATTTGAATGATTATTTTAGATTGGGGGGGACTGTTGTATTGTTTAAGAATGGGAATATAGCCGTTAGAAATAAAAGGGGGTGCTGAAGAGAAGGAAGGAGCCTCTGAAACAGAGTAAGGACAAATTGTTGGAATTGACATGTGAATTAGTGCCAATGACCCCTCCAAAATAAGGGTCAAGCTGCCCTAAAAAATTTAACTCATTCATTTTGGGGGCATAGAGCATGAATCTGGGGTAAAGAATCATGCTTTATCGATATAAATGGTTAAAAGATTAAAAGGGTCACCATTAAAAGAGTTCTACAAGGTAAACATTCATCATTCTGGTTTGTTGTACAAGAAGGGCTTTACCTAAAATACTTAGCTCTGGAACTATAAACAACATAGTACACAGATAAACCAAAAGATGGTCCCAATTTAGGTTTCAGGTTACCTTAAATCAAAACCCACTTCATCAATATTCATCTGAGAAGGAAGGGGGGACTACTTTCTTCCTTACAAGTTACACATGGAAAACCTGATGTGTGATTAATGTTCATGTTCCAGATGTGGGGGCAGCAGACAGCAGAAGAGAGTAAAAGAACCCCATGTGAGTGTGGCCATAGCATATCATAATCATATCAGCTGAACTCAGCTTCGAAGCTAATAGTGTGACACTCCAGGTTTCTCAAGTTAAGCTGCAACACAAAAGTAGAGCAACAATGAATCAACCCGGTAACAGAATATTCAGAATGAAAATTTTAAGGTTGGTTTAGATTGACATGGTCCATGCTAAATAGTTCTATAGACACGAAATGAACGGATCTACATACCATGACAGCGACTCCAGTCTCGCAGAACTTAGGGATGGAAATGAGCCGTACTATCTGCCCTTCTGGACCTGTGTTCCAGTAACAAAAGTTAGATTAGATTTCACACCATGAATATGGGAAGCAAAAAAGACGGAAACTTGAAACCATCTTTGCCCAAAATACCGTTTAACAAGGAGGTGCCATATTTAGGTTGATTTCCGGCAAAGTAGACATGGGGGCAGCTCTCTATGAGGAAAGGATCCCTATCAGTGAATGGATAACATCCTGAAAGAGAACAGATACAAGGAACAATTGTTGGATGGAAACTTGCGCTGGGTGTACACGGAAAAATTGGGCAAATCCGAAAAGAGAGATTTCCTACCGAGTGTATTAGGTGTTGTTGGTGCTATATGCCTCCAATTCATCGTCCTTTCCATGAATTCAAGCTCACCTTTGGCCTCTGAATACTTCCCCATATCCTCAATGTTCTGACCTGATGTTCCAAGAAATCTACCAAGGAAAAGAGCAAAAATGATGTCAAGAGTTTGCTCTAAGAACATATATACTTCAATAACGTACTGGAAATAGATGTGCCTTACTTGATTTTATCCAGTTCAAAGCAATGCGGATTTGTACAAGATCTGAAAGTGTTGTAGACTCTTGAGCTAGGGAAAAGGCACCTGTGCAAAGGCTGAATGAACAATGAACTTAGTCAGCAATAAGAAATTTGATGATGCAGTAAATATTGCATTACAACCGACATATATACCAGCAACTAGAATTCGAGTATAAGCGATGGATAAACCTGCTGAGGCAATGCAAAGTTGGTAGGGTCGTTAGGTCCTGGCATGATATCTAAAGGCAGACCTGCAGCAATCTAAAACACCATAATCAACTTAAGAAGCTACATATAAAATTCAAGAAAACTATTAAAGCAGGTAAAGAATGCTGAAAGTACTTGTGTCAACAGGATATCTAGCTCTTTGATTGGATCTGACAGCTTTGATTGATCCTTCGAAGCTAAATTCTGCAAGGAAGAAAATGATTAAGAGCTGAGGCATAAGAACCGCCAGAATCTGTTTGTAACACATCGCAGATTGACGAAGAGTCGTGTCATTTACAGTAAGCTGCCTCTACAAACAGTTTCTAATCTTAATTCCTAGGCAACCTTTACTTATAAACAGTTCTTGCATCTTCCCCAAATTCGTTAGATTGCAGTTCTGGTAGTACCCTTAATGTGAGATCCTAAATCTACCCCCACAAAACATTCTCCGACATTCTTATTACTTAAAAGAATCTATCAACAGCGAACAAAATACAAAAAAAAAAAAAAAAAACAAGAAACCACCACCTGTCCGTTAAGAAATTCTGAAGGGATTTCCACTGAATTCCCAGCAATCACGACATGAACTATCTGGGCAGCCATATGCTGTTCCTGCACAATTGTTGGATGAAAAATAAGCAAATACATAACAGATTATCCACATTAAGCATAAGAACAAGCTGAATTCAGGAGTAAGTAGGTCATAAGAGACACCTTTTCATCTCCAAGATGGCCTGTGATATGGTCAACTAGGAGCTGAAATTGGAGGGGATTTGCTGTCATGTTCCCAACACCGAGCCCAGAAACAAAAACAACGTACTTGTCCTCTTCTGTTCAAGATACCAATTCAACTGTATTAGATACAGCAGTTGTAGAACACAAGTTACGCAGAGTTAAAAGATGAGATTCAATATAAAAAAGGATACGAATAAGAATCAACATGCAGGTTTTAACAATAAAAAACTGGGTGAAATATCTAGTCTAACTGTGGAGCAAACACTGCCAAGTCATCATCATAAAACTGCAAAGCCAAAATAGATATAATAAAGACTGTCCCTAATATCAGTTCGGCAGACTCAACGCAGTAATCTGCTCCATCAAGGTCATCAACAAAAGGAACAAATTCAACATGCAAAGTTCGAATAATGGTGAAAAAAACTCATAGTAGCATAAGTTTCTAATCAATTGTATTCAAGTTAATGCAGAAAAAAGGTAACTTATTCTACAAAAGCCTTCCAGTTTAAAGCGTGCTAACCATTAATCAAATCAATTTCCATTCCTTCAAATGGTTTCAATTCGGAAGAGCTGTTCCTGACATCATTGTTAGAGATGAACACTTGACCCGAAATTGTTGTTCATATCGAAGAAATGATAGATAGTCTACATGTTTTTAACGAGAGTGAGTGACCAAGCAAAAGGCATGTAAATGACCCTGTAGCATACCCAGTTTAAGTGGCCTGTCAATCTGTGGAGCTAGTCCGGCTTCAAGAACTTCATGAACCAAGAAATCACCTTTAGTAGTTTCCTTTCCAAGCAAAGCAACAACAACACCTGGCAAGCATCCAAGAACTTACAAAATTAACATCTCCAAAATTGTTATATCCATGTTCAATGACATGTATAAAAACAAAAAACCCAGCCCCAGGAAGATAAACAGTCCACAAGCCTGAATTTCTGGATTCATAAATAGTAACTATGCATTGAGAGCGGAACGAAGCACCTCAGAACTTTGATGCACTAGCTGCATTAAGTAGAGTTTACAATTTACGAAAAACAGAAGAAATAAAAAAGAAGTTTGAAATTAGTCACAAAACTCTCATGGACAGGTGCTGGTAACTTAGAAGATGCTATAGAATAAACTTCTTATATTAGAACAAGTCAGTATCGAAGTAACATCCAAGCTTAAGAATTTTTTCTGCAGACTTACCTGTGACATAGACTGAAGGTAAAAGCACAGTGCCATCAAGCTTAACTCTACCACCCTCATCTTCCAAAATCAAATAGTCATCCGCATCCATAAAGTTGTGTGGCTTGACGAGTGGAATTACTGATCTCTGGGAATTGTAGGCAAAAGTATAAAACAAAGTTTGAGTTCATTATTCCTAGATGAGTTGCAAACTGTCAAAACATGGAAAAAAACAATGCCAATGCACGGAATGTTGTTGTGGCTTGGCATACCTCTTTAGAGTACTCATCAAGAATGCGAGGTTTGAGTTTCATGTGCTTGTACAGGGTCCCAACGATGACGCATTCCTTGCCTTCTTCAAGACTCAAAACCGTACACACTGAAAATGAAACAAATTTGAATACTTTAAGAAAACTTCACCACGGACGAAAAACCTACCAAATCAATCTCCCGGTACTTGGGAGATACAAAAACATCAAAGAGAACACCCATCATTCCATCTCAACACTCCCTACAACAAAGTCAGTGGAGAAACCCTAACTAGCAAACCATGGCATTAATTTCAAAATACCATGAAAAAGAGGATCTCTCCCTTACTAATCCACGAGCAGATAGAGCTCATGATACACAATCAATGGGGGAAAAGAACCAAAAGCCACAATAGAAGTAACCAACGACTAAAGCTGATTCAGTTCTGAAATTCCAAGCAGCAGAAATTGAAGTACCGGGGAGTTCAGGTTTCCAGAGGGGAATCAGCGAGTAGAGCAGAGTCTTGGCGACGTGGAGACGAGCGAAGTAAATTTGGCTGTACTGCTGCCCGCCGTACTTCTCGTTTCCAATCTCGAACGGCTCATCCTGCCATTTTCCCAAATTGTTAGTGAACTATTTTACCCAAAAAAAACTTCCCCTTGGGAATGGAAAGACATGGAGTTCGCTCGTCGTCTTCCAGTGTTCGCACTCAATCATCGATAGGTAGCAAAAAAAGCCGACGATTTGGGGGGAAAGCAATGCAAAAAATCTGCCAACTATTGCAACCAAAAGTACAGATGAAACTCATGAAAACGCGAATGAATAAGAGACTGCACACGAACCAGACAAGTGTAGGCTGCTTGCTTCCTCTGCAGAATTTCGCCCGACTCTCCTCCCATGGCGGGAAAACACACAGAAGTTGCAGTCTGAACTCTGAAAGTGCCCGCTTGGCCGCTTCAACACACCCAGCGAAGAAGCTAGATTATAAAGCAGGAAAGATACTTGATACTTTATATTATATGTTTTGATGAATTTCAATTGAGGAATATAGCTCGTATGGTAAAATGTTCATTTTGCAGGCGAGAGGTACGAAGTTCGATACACGCATCTCCACTTTTCAGAATCGCTACTCGTTAGTTAATCATTTTCACTTTTTGTTTAAACGACGGCGTTGACCGCCGTTTCAAAGCCAACACATATTCTCTTACCTAACCCGATTTTAACGGCGACGTTGACGGCCGGCCGACATATTTATTCCGCTCTGCCGGTTCCTTACTTCCATTTCGATTTCCCCCAAAAACTCTGGTAAAATCTACAGCAATGGCAGCAGCTGCCACCGTCGCCTCCTCGCTTCCTCCGATTCCCGGTACTCGTTCCCGCAACTCGTCCTTCTTCTCGCCAACTTCCGTCGCAACCACCAGTAGCACCTGCTCCAGTTGCCGGAAAGTCGGGCTACGAATGCCCTGCAGTGCGATGGTACAGCAAGCCGTACAGGGAGCTCCCGCTGCTTACGCCAAGGAGATGGAACGGCTTTCCGCCAAGGAATCGCTGCTTCTTGCTGTGAGTAGTTTCCGTTCCGTTGTTCTTGCAATTGATGACGATAAGAAATGGCTGCTTAGTTCTCATGAAAAGGGAACATTCGAATTGCGCTTTCCGAAGATCGCTTTTGATGCTGACAAACGTAACTGTTGTGAATGATTGCTCGGTCTGATTGCAATGCGTATGCGTTGAGAAAATAGAGAGCTAGATTTGGCTGTTGTTTGTTGAATTGATTCGGTCGTGGCTCTTTTCTTAGGTTCAAGCTCTGTTCAAAAACTTCAGGTACTTCATGTCGAAAATTTGTATCTAATGGAAGTCAGATTGTTGATTGGTTCAGTTCAAAGATGCTGGGGGTTTTGAAGCTCTGGTCACAGGGAAGTTGACGGAAGTGCAGCAGATTGATGTGAATGAAAGGATTACTGGTCTTGAGCGTCTCAATCCAACACCTCGGCCAACTACGTAGGTGGTTATTGAAAAGTTTTACTATCCATTTTCCCCTTTGATGGGCGTTCTGTAGCGTTGTTCACTTGTTCCTTCAGCTGCACAGATCGCCTTACTTGGAAGGTCGGTGGAATTTCGAGTGGTTTGGAGCTGGAAGCCCCGGATTGTTTGCTGCCAGACTCTTGTTTCAGTAAGCCTCTTTTGATCTTTACTGTTGCATCCCTTCACTGTTGTTATGAATGCCGCATCTGGGAATTTCGCTTGAGTAGGGTGGTCGAAGTTAGTAGTGGGACATATTTTTTCGGACCTTCTGTATATTGTCTATCTCATTGGTTTAAACTCTTTGTTGTTGCAGGAGATTTCCTTCTGATTTGGCTAACTTTTCAAACATGGATGTTGTGATTAAGGAGGGGAAGGCAAGGGCCACTGCGAATATGAAGCTGTTGTATTCGGTATTCTCCTAAATTCAAGGGGGTTCACTTCTGTAGCAGGTCAATTTTGAAAATATTGGTGAAAACCTGAAACAACTCTCTGTGTCCACCATATTTCAAAACTGAAAACTTACATTTTTCTATTAAGATCCGGATGAATGAGAAATTAGACATGAAAAACTTGCTAAAATGAAGTCAGTGCATAAGAAACAAATTCCCTCACTTCTCACAGTTTGCTTCCTGACTACCCTTCTGCTATTCCAGACAATATGAAACGAAGTTAAATATATACTAGGAGTGTTCTATAGCTACTTCGAACTTCTTTTCTTGTACGTGTGTGTTTGAATCTGCATGAATTCCGAGTACTTAATTATGGACATGTCTTGTGTAATGCAGATAGAAAGCACGGTCACTCTCTCTTCACAGTTAACTGTCGAAGGTCCACTTAGAATGAAAGAGGAGTATATTGAAGGGATTCTCGAGACACCTAAAGTCATCGAAGAAGCAGTACCAGAACAGCTAAAAGGAGTGCTTGGCCAGGCTATCAGCACAGTGCAACAACTCCCTGTCCCCATTAGGGATCTTATCGCCGGTGGCCTGAGAATTCCTCTAAGTAAGAACTTAAAAGATTTTGGGCCCATTTAGGCTCAACTTAGCTCCTCTTAAATAGTAGCATACTTCATTCTCGTCTCCCTGCGTTGTCTGCTGCATAAAATGGTCAAATATCTATGAGCTGGAAGTTGTTTTGTTGCAACTCTGAGTGCGGGAACTGCTAATGCTTTGTGTATACAATGTGCTGTTCAAGTGTTGAGTTCCGAGGTTTTCAAAAGGAATCAATGGTGGTTCTTTTTTTAATTTCTTGCAGCTGGTACATTTCAGAGACTCTTCTTGATTTCATATCTCGACGAGGAGATACTGGTACGAACTCTTGTCATCACAGTATACCTGATCAATTTGTGGTGCTGCCTATCTTCATTATGACTAAATAAATTTGTGATGCAGATAATGAGGGATGCAGCTGGAGTACCTGAAGTTCTTACCAGGCTGGAAGCACCTGCACTCGCTATTCCAGAAGTCGTCTCAGAATATGAAAGCTAGTCTGTGATGAACTGAAACTCACTTCCCCACTCTCGAAACTAGTCTGATTTTTCTTAATTCGTTCTTCTTGTCTGTAATTAGTGAAACTACGTGTTCCACGATCTCGTTCTCTCGACCCCAGTGGGAGGTTAGAATCAAAATAATCATAGCAATTTATTGGAATTGAACTCGAGTCTTTGAAATAAGGGTTGATAGCTTACTACTCTATAACCTTTTAATCTTTGATTACCACCATATTGTCCACATTTTATAATCTAAAATTAAATATTGAGAGGTCTACAATCAACCCTGAGTTACTCATAGCTCCATCACTGAATTTCTCTCTTATTTTCTTGGCTGCTACTTTGGTTGCACTTCGTAGTGAAAGAGTAAAGAAAACCCCACATTTTCATTGTACAATAAGTGTATACAATGATGAACAAATCCTATGCGATTGAAGGCTAAAATGTCAAACAAAAAAAAGAGTGGAGTGGACTGATTCTCCATCGAAAGTCCAGGAAGTATTCCCTCCTATCAGACCCCTAAAGTGAAACCTCGGTGAGGTGAAATTTAAAGTAAAGCTGTGGAAAAGGAATGTGAGTGAGTGGTTTGGTGAACACATTTTCAAGCTTATCGGTTGTGGGCAGATAACGAAAATGAAGCTTGTTTTTTCAACTCGATCACGGACAAAATGAAATTCGATTGTCAAATGCTCTGGTTGTGTTTGAAAGACTGGGTTATTGGAAGTTCTCGGAGTTCTCAGTTTTGGAGGTGGATTTCGTGATTGGAAGTTTAGGGTTTTCGATAAAATTTGAAACTTAAAGAGAAGGGAGAGAATTTTTCGGCTAGAGAGAGAGAGGAAAATGAAAAATGAAGGTGAGATGTGGATGGCCAAGAATTGGCCTTTAAAAGGGAAAGGGGAAGCGGCGGTGTCACAACATTGGTGGCCGATGTGACTTCCTCTCGCGTTCTACTTCGGATACCATCATTTTTGCGTTAGAACACTTACCTCGATAGTATGAAAATTGGTTTCGTACAATTTTTCACGTCTTAAAATCCTTCCTTCTCATAATAAGATTGAAGTTTTGCTCCAAATAAAACACTTATCAAAAGGATACAATGTTTTTCTCCAATGAGTAACTCAAAACTTCAAAGGATACCTTGTTAAGCTCTCGATTGATAGCCTTGATTAATATAATTGACATAAGTTAGTCACTGCCCTTCTTGGCTATAACATTTGAATCCTTCGTGACCTTTTTCTCCACATGCTTCACAAACGAGCAAGGATGCCACCGGTCTATTCTTTGGCTCTATTGAAGTCTACCTTAGTTGTTGAGTTAGATCTTTCATGTACTCACTGAGGGTGGCAAACATCATCCTTCCTTCCTTAGGTAGCTTTCAATGGTTTAGTCATTGATGGACCCTTGGACCAGTTCTTTGACTTCCTTGCTAGTGTGGTGAAATGCTCCTGCCATTGCACTCCCGTCATTATTGTGAAATCTCCATCGACCGACTGGTTTACCATCATCATGGTGTCTCGATCAAGGCCTTTGGCAGAGTATATTGCAATTTTCTCTGGTGTGAATCCATGATGGGGGAATGCTTTGATATACTTTTGGAGTCTCCTCCAAACATCGTAGAAAGTCTCTCTTTCCTTCTGTTGAAATTGAGTGATCTCATCTTTAAACTCTTATGTCTCCCATGGTGGAAATTTTTCCTCGGTGAATGCTTGAGAAAGCATCTCCCACATGGTGAAGTTTCGTGGTGGATGGTAGTCAAGCCACTACTTTGCTCCTCCTCCAAGTGAGAATGAGAAAAGTCGCAATTGAATTCCATCTTTGGTAGCATCATCTTCTGGTACGGAATCTGCAATCTCTAAGAATGTCTTCAGGTGTTGCACCAGATCATCATCATTCCTCCCTCCAAACTTTCATGCTTGTTGCATCATCTTATGATATCTATGGTTGTTGGTGACGCAGCAGTGCTTGAGGTGATTTTGGATGCTCTTGGCCTTGAGTACTCATAAAGAGTTGTTGGAACAACCACTTGCATTTTTCAATTCTTCTCCAACCATTGTTGGTGTTGAAAATGTTGAAGATGCTCCTTCTTAATACGAATCGAAGTTGTCTTCATCTATGGTGTCCTTCTCTTACAAGGCTTGCTTGAAATTGTTGGGGCTTGATGGCTCTTCTTCACCTAAGCTAGATGCTCCTTCCTTCGTCTTCAAGATGGGTGAACTCGATGCTCCTCCTTCTTGAAGTATCTCTTCCACAACCTTAAGGTTTTTAGTTTTTCTTCTAGTACTTACTTGACTCATACGAAAACCTACAAAACAAAAAAGACCCAATATGGGACATAAGATGGTTAAATGCTTTTCCATATGATTAGAAATCCCCGACACCGGCACCAAAAACTTGATGCATAGTAACATACTAGTGATAAAAAGTCCTAGGATATCCTATATGGTCGTATTCTTCGAGGTCTTCTAATGCAAACCAACCATCATGACATACACGATTGAACAAGCAAACAAGAAGAGTAAAGTTGTTTAGAGATTTTCAATATATAGTTGCATAAAAGTAAAAATATGTTATTGTAAGAGGTAGTGAAATCGAAGATAATCATACAAACTAGGTCTCATTCACATCATGCATCAATGGTTCATCTATTGCATGCACCTCTTGCGATAGAAATTCAACTAGCTAAACTGTGTTTTCCCTTCATGCCATTACCTAATTAATGAAGAACAAGAAAGTTAGGATAACATATAGTTAACTGTTGGCTTTTACGAACCATGACTATAGTCTATAGCATGGATGATCTAACAATCAAACATTCATGATACTCGAAGCATAAATGGTTGACCATTCCATCTCTACTAGTGTAGCAACACTGGGGTACCCCTAGAATGTAATTTCTTGACAATCTAGATAATTATAAGCACAATGCATATAGTAACATACAATAGAATCATAAGCATCGATGGTATTAAGAGCATTCATACTATAGAAACATCAGTGACCATCATAAGCATCGAATACAAGAAAGCATCCATGCATAATCATAGGCATCGAAATTCATAGACAAACACAAACATAAGATGAAATCATGACATTCATTCACATAACAATCAAGAAGATCACATCCTCAAACAATTAATTTCAACTGGCTAATAGAGGAGAAAAATAGGTACCACCATTGATGATGACAACATTTCCTTAGCTGCAGACCCCTCTACTTCGACTAGACTAGGCACTAGTGTAGAACGTTACAGAGATTTGTGTGTTTGCGCAACCTTACTTTTACAATGGAGTCATGTCCCTTATTTATTGGGGAGAATCCGTCCTAAAACATCCTAAACCTAGTAAACTAAGGAAACTTTGTCAACAAGGCAAGGTAAAGGCGTCGATGGAGCATCAATTGGACTTGCCGCTCTGTTTCTTCTCGGGTTGGGCCTTCTAATCCATGAACTTCTGTTCCTAAGAGCATCTCCATCGCCAATTTCATTTCAATTGCAAATCTATGTGTCCATCTACGTGGCAATTGCATATACTATTGCACGGATGTGGCAACCACTGACAAATATGCAAGCTTTCAAATAATGAAATTCACTTTGCAATGCACGTCCCTTTCCATTCTTTTTTTTTTTAATTTTCTTTGCTAATTTATGGAATATATTTGAATAAAAAATATGTAGTCCCATAAATAGTAATTTTGTTGTGCGGGCTCCAACATTTTTTTATGCTTTGCAGTATATTAATTGATTCACGAATTTTTTTATAGTCAATCGTTAAGTCAAAATACATTTGATAATAAAAACCAATGATTTAAAAACCGTACTGCATCTTCGTAATCATACAAGAATTCGTAATCACTCTACAAATAATCAACTTCAATCAGATTTGATAGAAGAGACATGGGCTCGGTTTGGAGATGAGGAAAATGATGTTTAATTTACATTTCTGTCTTTATATTGTTCCATTTAAAATTTTAAATATAAGTTTTTTTACTTTATTTATGTGTCCTATTTGAATATTGTGCTAGTTCTAGCATTTTATTTTGATTTTATGAATAATTATTGAGTACTAGATTCTTTCTATTCTATCCTCAAGATCAAAATGTATTCATAAATTAGTAATAAAAAATTATAAATTAATTGTATATATTTTGTTTAAATTAAAAAGAATAAAATTTTATTTACTTGCAATGTGGATAAAAAGGTATTAAAAAAATTTAGGCCCCATATGCAATTGCAAGTTAATTGCACCAATGTAGGTACAATGAAAGTAAAGTGAGTTGGCTTGCAAAAATGGTGTTGTGTCAAAAAAAACACAAATGCAATTGGATATTTGCAATTGCACCAATGGAGATGCTCTAACAACTTGGGCTGCAACCTAGGATAGCGGTGGTTGGACACATTGCTTGGACCGCCACTCATTTCTTCTTCATATTAAGCCGAATCTTTCTCCTATGGGCTCATCTTGAAAACTCCATAAAAGGGTGGTAAAAGTTGACTTGCGGTTCTCTGGTTGGTGGAGTACTTAAACGTGGGGGTAAAAGTTGACTTGTCTGTCGTCCATCTCTCCTCATATGGACTTAAGTATTATTATTGTTGTTCATTAATTATTGGTTTAGGGTTTAATAATAATGAATTAATCTGTCAACTTCTCAAATGAGTCATTCTCATGCATCATCATCCTGCCTGCGCGTACCCTAAGAAGAATGAAATGTAAAATATAAATTAAAACACAGGGGGATTAAGAAAATATACATGAATTAAGCATCCAAATACGAAGATAAATCAGATAGATGGATTACGTATATGCTAATGAATCATCCGAATTAAATAATGGTAGAATAACTAGCAATCTATTGAAAATGTTGTATACTTGCAAGTAAAGTAATTTCATCTTTTCCTACCCAAAAAAAAAAATTAATTTCATCTTTATAATATGAATATGGAAAAATTGATGCAGAGAGAGCTTAATTAATTCTCGTCTCATGCTTTTGGTCATTGGCCCAAAGGATTTTTAATGAATATGATTAAAACTCGAATCCAAATATTACGGATGATGAGAGAGTATGGTAATTTCACTATCCAGCTCGAATTCGTTTGATTATAAACATTAGGGGTGGCAACTGCTATTTAGGTATACCCATATCCATCATTTTTTTAGGGTTACGGATACCCAAATATGTGTAATTTTTTTTACGAGAATGAACTTGGGATCAAGAAATTATACAATTGGTCCCCACGAGTTGCTCATTAATACACGTTTGGTACTAGCCGCTCGTAGCTTAGCCCTA